CGCTCATATCTGTCAGGAGTCTGTGTGTTCAAAGTCGGCTCATCAGAAACTCGAGCTCGAGCTCAAAAATTCGAGTTCGAGTCGAGCTTTTGTCCAGCCGGCACGGCTCATTTACACCCCTATTTTGGACATCGTGTCATAATATAGTCTAGATTAGAGCATGCAAAGCAAAACTGCATTTGCAAACATTAGTGTGTATGTAGAACATGTACCCGGCAAGTAACAATACAATTCAACTTAATAAATGAAATAAATCTTTCATCTAATACGGCTTTTCCGCAGAATTCTATATGTATCTAGTCTATGAGATCGAGTATATGGTATTTTTTTATTTAATTATGCATTTCTTTTCCAAGTAAACCTGTAGAAAGGAAGGCAATCTTATGTTTTACAGTAGCATGTAAATACTTGTCTTAAAGTCAATTATTATTCTTATTTTTTTAAAATATATTCGAGTTCTCATTGATATTTTTGCCCTTTTTTTTGTTCACGTGGCATGTTAAAATTTGAAACCGAGCAGACCATTGCAGCAGCGATCGTGGTTGGTATCATACTCCACGCAGGCAACCATCTTGCTTGCGACTTTCCGAGGCTTACAAATGAATCCGATTCCAAGTACAACCTTTACTTGATTCGCGATTTCGGTGATATTCAGCCCAAGTACATTGACCTCGTTAAAGGGGTCGAGGGCGTGACAGGAATTATGATGCTGATTTTCATGCTAATTGCTTTTACATTGGCTACAAGTTGGTTTAGACGAAGCCTAATTAAGCTGCCTAAGCCGTTAGACAGGCTAACCGGCTACAACGCTTTCTGGTATTCTCACCACCTCTTCGCCTTCGTCTACATCTTGCTTATCATCCATGGCACTAACCTCTATCTCGTTCACGACTGGTACAAAATGACGGTAAGCAATTATATATACGCGTGTGAATATATTTATATTATAAGTGTTGTTCGATTTCTAATTATTGGTCGACTGTTGGCTTTCAGACATGGATGTATATTGCAATCCCTGTACTTTTATACGCGGGAGAAAGAATCCTGAGATACTTCCGGTCAGGATTCCATAGTGTTCGGCTCTTGAAGGTGTGAGCATTATTATGAATTATGACGATCCGGTTGTTCGTTAAATTGATTTAATGATTTAATTATTTTTATTTAATTTCTCCATCTTATAACATTTTCAGGTTGCGATTTATCCGGGAAATGTGCTATCCTTACAAATGTCAAAGCCTCCGCAATTTAAGTATAAGAGCGGACAGTACATGTTCGTCCAGTGCCCAGCTGTCTCTCCATTCGAATGGTAAATTACGATGTCTACTACAAAGAATCTCATTTATATTTAATTTTACTCGTCTCACAACATATTAATTCAAACTAAGTGTGCAACAACCACACTCGATTTCTCTACCTAGCTAATAGTAAAACTAGGGGTGGAAATAGGACGGATCGGATCGGAATTGACACTTTCGGATTTCTCTTGGAAGTGAAACACTAATTCTTATTCCGTTCATATCGAAAATTGGAATTTCGGAAATTAGAATGAAAAAACTTGTTCCAGATTCGGAAAGTTTCTGATCAGAATCAGAGGAATGAATTCAGAAATTCTGAATATATAATGATATTATTATTATAAGTGTAATTTTCAGAATAGTAATAGGAAATTTTCGAAAATATTTCCGGAAGTAAAATGGTATGAGATTTTCTGAAGTAAAATAGGAAATCAGAACTTTCTGAAGTGGGAATGATATTTTTTTTTTCAAAATCGAAAATTTCAGTTCGAAATCAACGGAATCTCGAAAATTCAGTTCCAATTTCCACCCCAAAGCTAACCAATAGAACAATCCATAATGCCTTTTAGACTTCATTTTTTTTTGTTTTTGTGTTAATATTGCTCTTTATTGCAAATAACCAGGCATCCATTTTCAATAACCTCGGCACCGGACGACGATTACCTCAGCATTCACATACGACAGTTAGGAGATTGGACACACGAGCTCAAGAGGGTATTCTCCGAGGCATGCGAGCCTCCTGTTAGTGGGAAGAGCGGCCTACTCCGAGCCGACGAAAATACCAAAAAAAGGTAATAAATATTTCAATATCCAATCATCATACAAAAAATGTTCTTACAACTTTTATAATTAAATTTATTTTCTCATCATAACCTAAACTTTTACCTCGGAAAATCCAGTTTGCCGAAGCTACTAATAGACGGACCATACGGAGCTCCAGCTCAAGACTACAGGAAATACGATGTCCTCTTACTCGTCGGTCTTGGAATTGGTGCCACCCCTTTCATCAGCATCTTGAAAGACTTACTCAACAACATCCTCAAAATGGAGGAGCAGGCTGTAAGAATTTCTTACGGGTTTCGTTTATTGCAATTAGTACTCTTTTGTTATATCGAATTGCTAAAATACTACCCTATGTTATTTTACTAGCAAAAAAACCCCCTATGATTCATTTTTTTTAGCACGCAACCCGCTAAACAGTGGTACTAATTGCGAAAAAAAATTAAATCACGTAAGGATTTTTTCCAATAAAATAACATGCGATAGTTTTTCAGCAATTCGATGTAACACAAGTGTACTAATTGCAACAAACTAAGTTTCTTACACTATTGTCTCGTCTTTTGATTGACAAACAAAAAAAATTGTCATTAAAGAAAAATGGGTTTATTCTTTCTTTTTTTTTTTGTTTTTTTTTTTCAGGATTCGCTTTCGGATTTCAGCAGGTATTCAGACCAAAGTGTGGGTTCTTTCGATTCTCCAGCTCTTAACAAGGCTTCTCCTAAAAGGAAGAAAGCACTTCGGACAACAAACGCTTACTTCTATTGGGTGACGAGGGAGCAAGGCTCGTTTGATTGGTTCAAAGGTGTCATGAATGAAGTTGCAGAACTTGATCAAAGGGTAATGCACTATCTAATTATTACCATTGTATATATATATTAAATTGATTATAATTTATAACGTTAAATTATAACAAACTTTTCTAGGGTGTGATCGAGATGCACAACTATTTAACTAGTGTGTACGAAGAAGGGGATGCTCGTTCAGCTCTCATAACCATGGTCCAGGCTCTCAACCATGCTAAAAACGGCGTCGATATTGTGTCCGGAACAAGGGTAAATTCATCATTTTCACGTCACTCAAAAATCTTTACATTTTCATTTACGAACAAACATATGATACTGAATCATTTCTAATAGGTGAGAACGCATTTCGCGAGGCCGAATTGGAATAAAGTTCTCTCTAAAGTTGGTACCAAACATGCCAATGCAAGAATAGGTTAGTATATATTTCACAACAAAAACGTGACCGATAATTAGTTAATTATTATTTCGTTTCATGTCTTAATATTTGGGGATTCGGTACTCTTTCGAGCAGGAGTTTTCTACTGCGGGGCACCCGTTTTGGCGAAAGAACTCAGCCAACTCTGCAACGAGTACAATCAGAAGGGCTCAACCAAATTCGAATTCCACAAAGAGCATTTCTAAAAGACGAAAACTCGATATACATATGGAAAGATATTCATATATAATATACTTAATATATATATATAGCGTTATATTTTTTGTCCCATTCTTGGCCCGAAAATCAAATACGGGAAATATTGCAAGAAGGAAATAAATATTTGTATAGTCCTTTTGCAGGAAATTAAGATGTAGAATAGTAGAAAAAGGATACACATATATATACAAGTATATATATATTTTTTGAGAGGAGTTCCATGATCAGCCAAGACGACCAACAGAACGGGACGGCCACTGAGCAACGGCCATGTGGCGGGACCAACGGTTGACACCTGGCTTTTCCACCATGGAAAGATCTGAGTGCCTTACAGCATAAAGAGGTTTGTCTTGTTGGATTTTTGGGACATGTCTTTTTGTTTCAACTCTTATAATTATTAGATTCTTCGTAAGACGATCTTCCACTTTCCTTTGGTTTCGATTGAGGCGGGCTCGTAATATTCCTCGTAGAACAGCACGCGTATTGTAAAATGGAGAATCTAATATCATGTTTACTCCTAGTTTTGGAATTTGTTCACCGGAGACACGAGAAATAATACACGTAAATGTATATTATGGAAGTTGATTTTGAGTAATATAGTTTTCGTCGTTAATTGTCTTTTCTATTAAAGAATACTGTCTGTCATTGTTGCCGCAAAGAATTTTTAAGCTAGGCAATCAATGAAACAGTAACTCACACACACATATGTAAATTCTACGTTCTCGGGTGTAGAACTCGCTCAATATGAAGAGATCAACGCGCACACAATTATATACAGTAGATTCAATATGAGCTTACAAAAAGAACTCGTATTCGGCCAGAAACCCTAAACCCTCACAGAAGTGTTTCTCTCCGGGCACTCAACTCGCTTTAGCTTGTATTGTATATATATTGTGCTTTCTCGCCAAGCAACTCCAGCTGAGAGAAAGCAATCCACCAATCACGTGAGCTCGTGTTGAGGTGGCATTCCAGAAGTACTGAGCCATATTCCAACAAATCTCCACCTTGATATATTCTCTACTTCTTCGTCTTTTACTGCTCATCGATGCTTCCGATCCTTAGCTTAAGCATGCGCGCGGGAGGTAATCGCCTGATTTACTTCAATTCTGACAAGTATTTCAGGCGAATGAATTTGATATCTATGTGCTTTGATCTCTCATGAAACAATGAATTTTTCACGTTAAATTTGTTCTTTTATTTTTGCTCTATTCACACACTACTACTCAACCATCCATATTCAGATTTATTTCATTTTCAGATAAAATAAATCCATATTGGGTTTAAAAAAATAATTAAAAAAAATACTTTTATTTATATATTTGTGGAAGATAAAGGGGAAAAAAATATTCTAGCCTTTTTTTTTTTTTTTGAAAAATATTCTAGCCTTTAGTAAGTAATGAGTTAACAATTTATGCTAATTAAGAGGGCCGGAATTTTAGTTTGATACGATATTAGGGCCTTTAATACAATTTCTGATGGGCTCTGATATTATTTAAGGCCCACTACTACTCAACTGTCGTATAAAATTAACATGTAATTTGAAAATAAAATAGTATTTTACTTGTTTAGATTTTTTTTTTTTTTTTTGAGGAGATTTTACTTGTTTAGATTAATCTCAGGGAAAGATGTGCTAGCATTAAATAAACGGGCTATGATTTTAGTAGCGAGTTCGAACGAGACTAGAATTTTCATTATTTTTTTTTAACAAAAAAATAAAAATAGAACGGTAATATAAAAATATCTGCATAGTTGCACAAAAAAAGATAATTAACCTCAAACATAGCTACCGACGTTGACTCCTGCTTGGACTTTTCTCAAGTCATCAACTTCACTCCACATCACACACTTGCATTCAAATACACACACAATATTGCATTCAAATACACACACAATAGTGCTGTTAGGAAATGCTTTTAAAAATAGATTATGAATTTTTTTCTTAATATAATTTGTTTTTAGATGTTTGTAAAACTAACGTATACTTTTGACTATTTTAAAATAGGTTACTTTAAGCTATAATTTTAAAAACATCTGTGTATCTGTTTTTGACTTTTTTCTATTCAGTTGGTTTTCCAGCTAATTTGCAAACACTCCCAACTTATAAATTTAAGCACTTAATTACAACTTAACTCCCAGTTAGTTTCTGATTTTAAATAAGCTTTTGCAAACATTCTATATATATATATATATATAGAGCTAATTGCAAATACCACCCTGTGAAAAAAAAACTCACTAACTCCCCCTGTGTTAACAAAGTCAAGGCATCCGGACCCCTGGAGGCAAATCGTGTCTCTCACTCGCGGATTGTGCGAATTTTTATTCTATTTTCAGGGTAAAATGACATAAATAGCCTTCTTTATAAAAGGAAAAAAACCAGATTGGTTTAATTTAAATAATCTAACTTTATAGGACTAAATTGTAATTTTCAAAATTACAAAATAATAATAATAATAAACCATTGAAAAAAAAGGAGAGACTGCACATCTTCTTCCTCGTTACCGTCGGCCCACCTCAAAGAAGTTCAGCATCGCCGCTCGTCTCGCACCACCACCTTCTCCCGCCTCCTTCAAATTCGTTCCCACTACACCCCCTTCCACTCACTTCTTCAAATTCGTTCCGACTACAACGCCACCGTCTCGCACCACCGATACCCAGCCACTATAAAATTCTCTCCCTCGACACCGCCGCCGATCTGGCACCACCCATTTCTTAGTCATAGAGATAGTTGTGTATAATTGAAGAATTGTAAAAGTTACTTGTGACGAGATTTGTATGGAGAGAGACCGAGACGAGATCGAGATCGAGAATCTCTCCGTCGCCGAAATATAGATCCGCCGCCGCTCTTTATATATGTTTCTTTTTGTTGTGTGTTTATAGCTACCATTTTTACTATTGCTGTGGTGGTGAATCTGGAGAAGATGGTTATGGTGCCGGTGGTAGTAGTGTAGCAGAACAACAGCAGCAGGTTGAGCCGGGCAGGTTGAGCCGGGCAGGTGGGTGAGTGGGTGGGCTGGAGAAGAACTTTTTTTTGTTTATTATTATTATTTTTTTTAATGATTATTATTATTTAATATAATGTAACATACATAATTACAAAAAATATAAAAACATTATATAAAAGGCATATAAGAACTTTTAATATTACAATATATATTTAATTCTTGTTTATATTTTATTTTATTCAAAATAAATACATAATATTTACAAAATTAAAGTGATTCTAAAATTTGGTATATTCTACTTTACTAATTGCTAAAAAACCCCTTAGGGCATTTTTGTCTATTCACCATTAGTCAAAGTCTAAAATAAAAAAGGGTGCAGTGTGCTTCGAAAATATTAACAGAGGGGGAGTTAGTGAGTTTTTTTATCACATGGGTTATTTGGCAATTAGAGATTATACAGGGGTGGTATTTGCAATAAGCTCTCTCTCTCTCTATATATATATATATATATATATATATATATATATATATATATATATATATATATATATATACATTCACGTAAGTTTCATTGACATAAGTGCTGCAATTGGGTATATGACATGTTGCAAAATAACGTCAACTTCTTAATTAACCCTCTTAATTATCTCTTATTTCATATCCCATCCATAAATATTTCCAAGCTGATCAACATCTTCAACAAAAAAAATAATTAAACAAAAATATGGAAGAAGAAAGCCATCGTATAATTAATCCATACATCAAAAGCGACGAAGAAGAATTCACGACGACGACGAAAAACAACCGCCGCGGAAAAGGCGGCGGCAGCAGCAAATGCTTAGTTTACATACTCGTCGCCGTCGTCTTGCAGAGCGTAGCCTTCTTAGTGTTCGGCCTCGTCGCCCTCCGAATCAGCAACCCTTCCCTCCGCCTATCCAGCGCCGCCGTGGCAGTTCTCCGCCACGATTCGGCGTCGCTGAACATGACCGTGGTTGCCGGAATCCGCCTCAGAAACCCCAACTTCGGCGACTTCGAGTTCAACGGCGGAAGCGCGTCCCTGCTGTACGGGGAGGCGACTGTCGGGGTGGCGAGTATATACGGCGGGCGAGTCGGCAGAAGAGATAAGAAAGAAATTAACGTGACGATGGAGGTCATCGGCGGCGGCGGCGGCGGTGAGTTGGTGAAGCTGAGGAGCATGGCGGAATTGAGAGGTGAAGTTCGGGTGGTGAAGATAGTGAAACGACGTCGGATTGCGTTTATGAATTGTACTATGGATTTGAATTTGACTAGTCAAGCTTTCCAGGATTTATCTTGCCAATGAACATATTTAGTGAATATAGTTTTTATTAGTTCATATGAAATTATATATATATGCTTAATTCGTTTTTATAATTCCCTTTTGATCTTTTTAAGATTATGTTTGTATGAATATTTTGTATCTAGTTGTTTAATTTGTTTTGCTTGTATTAAGGCTACTTAATTATTTGCTAATCTAATTTTTTTTCAAAGTGAAATTTTTGTGCTTCGAGAGGTATTAGTTAGGAGTGAAAATCAGACGGAATTGATCGAAAATGATTTTTTTTTTTTTTTGTAAAAAATTTCAATTTTGTTCGGAAGTAAAAAATGAGTTCCAAATAATCTCTTGTTCCTAATTTGAAAATTAGTTTATAATCTCTTGTTCCTAATTTGGATGCAACGTGAATTTTCGCAATATTTTTTTTTTATCTTTTTTGAATTTTCGCAGGAAAATGCAAAAAATCCAAAAGAGATTTCGACAAAACGCAATAAATAAAACAATATGTGGGAACTACAAATTGAAACATATATTTGCAAGTTTCTGATACCAATTAATCTTTTAATTTCTAAGGTTTAATATAGTTGACCATTTCGTATTTATATTTTTCATATAAAATATAACATAAGTTATATTATGGAATTATAAAATATATCATATATTTCGAAAACCAATCAAAATATTCAGAACGAAAATCGATCGGATCAAAAATTGGAATTTTTTATAATTTTATGTACAATTCCGATTACGTTCCAGATAGATTCGCAAGAATTGAAAATTGAAACTTCGAAAATTAGAATGAAAAATATTATTCCAAATTCGGACATTTTCAATTCGAAATTGGTGGAATTCGAAAATTGCATTCTGATTTCCACCATCAGTTCTAATCCAACTATGTAACTGAACCCTCATAAAATTAACTAATGAATAATTTTATTGAACATCCAAACAAGACGTAACCATATTAGAAGGATGACAAATGTTGTTTTGATAACCGAACAACGATTTATTAGAGCAACTCCAATGGATTATCAAACATGGTATTCAAACCATTAACCACTATTTATATACCAGAAAATAGAAATTTTTAACTCCAATGGGGTTATCAAATTAGGGTTCTATTTTGATAATTCAACTTTTGAGATGTAAAAATACTTGCTGGAAATTGAGTTATCAAAAGTATAACTATCTAAATATCCAATCAAAAGTGGACATGTGGCAATTAATTTAAAATCACCTATAAACTTCCAATTAATAATTAATTTGATAACCATGGTTGGAGTAGATGAATTTTAATCAATATTAAAATATTATCTCAAATATCAAATAAATATTTGATAATTCAATTTTGGTATTTAGCATTGGAGTAGTAATTAATAAACCAAACAATGGTTTATATTCCGTCAAAATTAGTATTAGAGGTAATATTGTGTACATGTCACGATTCAGGTATGTAACGGCAATTACGGCTAACGCCAAACAAACTGTTCGATATCCTATAAATGGTACGTTTTATTAACGGAAAACTTTTGCCGTTAAACCTTTTTTTTGGTGATCAATGAATATAAATAAAATAGAAAATAGAAAATAGAAAATAGAAAATAGAAAATAGAAATGTCATGTGCAAATTTCATATGAAAGGCCAAAGAGGAGAATGTATTTCTATGGCATCATAAATTAAACTGGTCCCCCAAAAAAAAAAAAATAAAAAAAAAAAAAAAAAAAAAGAAAAATCAATTTAGTACTCATTGGCCAATAGGCCAAGTGGTCCATTGGGCTTTCAACTTCCTTATCATATACCAATTTCACACTTCAATGTCTTGTTTCTTTTTTTGATTGGTTGATTTGAATATTAGTTTGCATAGGAATTAATTTTTTTTTTAATTATTTGATGAGAGGACTTAGGATTATTTTTTAAATATATCTCAAAATCTATATTATAATGTCACCTATTAGATTCCATAAAAAAAAAAAAAAAGGAAAATCACCATATTAGTTCAATAATGAGTTCTAATTCAGAACAACCAATATTGCAACTTGTTAAGTGTGTGAAAAACTATGATAATGTGTGTAACAGAAAAGTAAACAATCAGTCACAATTGAACATCAAATTGACCGTGTTTCGACTCAATGAGAACCTACATACACAAAACGATTCATATGGTGGTAACTTCAGAAGGTGTCAAAATACACGGAAAGACACTTAGCTCACCAAATATCCAAATCTCAAAATGTAGATCTTATAATCTCTTACCTAGAACGAATGGAGACGTAAAATGAAGAAGGAAGATTCGTATTATAGCCTAAAAAACAACGACCATCAGCGGATAAACTGCCTCATAGTCAAAGTCAATAATTTAATGTTTGGTGGCGTTTGACTCAAATGTCGCTCGTAAAAGACAATGAAAGTCAACTGAATGACGAAGGTACATACCGGAGCGAAGAAAGAGAGAAGATTAAGCTTATATCAAATGGTAGAAGCTAATATATATAAGACATGGACGATCAAGATTGATTCTCCAAGATGGATGATCAAGATTAGAGTCCAATAAGATTGAAAATTAGGTCCATTCCAAAATGATTAAATCATTTCGACCCAAAACCTTACACAATTAATATAATGCATAATCCCACAATAAATAATATTAATCAACCTTTCATTAAAGTTTCACATTCAAAGCCGAGCCTAGTGGGCATTATTGCATTAAATAACAAAGGTCCCCTTGTCTCAAACAATTATTAATTACTAGAATTATTATAGTAGACAATAAATTTATGGCAAGTTCTGTATTTACTATGATTTATTATAAGGTGCTACTTTACAAAGTATGTTCAATAGGACATGTAATAAGCAGCTGAAAAATTAAAAAAAACCCACATAAAATATACACTAACCAACACTTAAGCCATGTGACTGAGTGTCACAAATAAAACAAAATTCCGTGACCAATTAAAAATTGTTACTAAATCATTTCACATGTCTCTCAATTATTTTAACATAACTATCATTAGCCGTAACATGGTTAATTAATTAAGATAAGATTGTAATTAGAATATTATTGTTTGATAGTACTAGATTTTTCCTAAGTCATATAGTCAGAGCTCTGTATATTCTTAACCACTTTACCTCAGAAGAAGTGAATTTTCTATATATATATATTTGTAGCAATACAATAAACATATACAAATTCTGCTACGTTTTTCAAATAATTAAGAGTGATAAAAGGGTAAAAATGACAAATTTGCAACAATGTCAGATTATAATTCTAAAATATAATGACAAATAATTTGGAATGGCATAGAGGAAGTAACAATAATATGTATTAATCGTGCATTTGAATATTATCTAGCAATCTCTTGATGAACAACATATAAGTTGTTGTGGATATGTATTATTTTCCAATCGAATTCGTTACGAAGAGACATTATCAATTTATAAGGGTGTGTTCGGATATAAGGATGTGAGGGAGGAATTTCAAATCTACAATAACAAATCCACTCTTGTTTAATTTGAATTAAGTAATCTGACAAAGAAATTTCAAAATCTATTAGTCATCGTTTTTTTTCTTCGGTGATAAATGAATACAACCAATTATGCAGGTGCACTGAGTAAACCTACACTCTAGTATAATAGCTCGCAAATCATACGATATACGTAAACTACACTAGGCTAACCATGTATAACAAATTCGACCTAGCGATCGTTGGCAAGGCGCGGGATTCGAACTTAGGTCAATATTTAACAAATTTATTTACTCCAGCCACTACACCATCCCTTAAGCGAGAGGAAAATGAAGAAAATGGTCAAAGCATAAAAATGGTGGTGTGAAAAAGGAGATTGCTTTTGAAGGTGAAACAATTCACCATGGGACTAATTGAATCTCCCCACCAACTATTATTATACTATAAGACAATGTATTATATCGGCCTAATTCCACTTTGCACCCTTGAAATGCACCATTTTGATATTTTGCACCCTCGAAAATAATTTATGCCACTTTGCATCCTTAAAACACTTTTAATCGTTCAAAATGCACCCCGCTTTATTTTTCGGCGTTGACTAATTTTTTGATTGTCAACAGGGATACATTAACACTTCACACACCAAAGACAAAGTCGATGAAGAGACAAAAGTACCCCCGTTGACAATCAGAAAATTAGTCAACGCCGAAAAATAGAGCGGGTTGCATATTAAACGATTAAATGTGTTTTGATGGTGCAAAGTGCTATAAATTATTTTTCGGGAATGCAAAGTGCTAAAATGGTGAATTTCGCCTATTATATTCTGGTGTTTTTGTAAATATCCATGGTGTTTTTTGTTTTTACCAAACTAATTTGGTGTTCTGCCCATAATACTTTAGTGTCAATAAATCTCTTCCTTTGATGTAAATATTATTAAAATTAAACTGAGGAAAGGTATGAACTTTACTACTGTTTGTGTATCCACTTTTCCCCACCCAACAAATATATACCCGCCATTTTCCACCGCCTTTTTTTCTTTTTTTAATCTTTATTATTTGATTCATACACATTATTCAAATATTTAAGACAAGATATATGACCAACAGATACGCTGATGATTCTTACCTGACAAACACTTCTTACCTTTGTCTCAATCTCAAACACACAATTTAAACTGAAATATGTTTCCTTAAATATATACATTTAGATTTTCTAATTCAATACTCTATTCTCTATTCGTTTTTAATTAATTGTTATTTTTCAATTTTGCATAAGTATTAAGAATGTGAATCAATGTATCTTTATTTGAAGAAAAGCACATTAAAAAGACTAAAAAACTTTGATTATTTAATTGTGTGATAAAAGGAGATTTAATACTTGTAATTGAATTAATAAGGATAAAATAGGAGAAAACGCATTTAATGCAGTACTGAAAATCTAAAGTGACTGATAATATGGAATAAACATAAACAGTTATGGAATAAAGAGAGTGTTTACGAGTTTCGTCTATTTAACCACGAGTCATGGTAGGGCTGAGGCCAAAATCGGTTGGATCAAATTGGATCTATAACTTTCGAAAAATTTCTGAAATTCTGAAATCTGAATTTATCACTTTCAAGTAAATCGAAATTGGACCAAAGAACTTCTTCCAAAACCGAAACATTTCATATCAAAATCGACCTAATTCAGACCCTCTTTCAATTACCAAGGAGGTTATGTGCTTATAATAAGAGTACAAGGGGTCATGTGCTAATATTAAAAATATAAGAGGACCTACTGACCAGGTCATATGCAAAAAATTCAAACCGAGGGTTCAAGTGTTATTTACCAAAACAAAAGGACCATAACCGAAAGTGCTTTCCTTTTTCCATGGCTACTAATTGCAGTACACACTTTGACCTACACTAGCTAGTTTTCTCCTATATAATAATAATAATAAAATACTAATTAATACTTACAATAATTACTAATTACTAATTAATTAAATCTTAATCTATTTAGCTTCCTCGGAAAATGATGATGAAGCTTTTTGCATCATCACAGACTTTTCATAAGATGGATCACTCACTGAACGGCTTAAGATTGACGAAGATTCCACATCTGCAATATTAATTATAAATAATAATTAAAATGTTTAACTAAATTAATTTAACCAAAGTAATTAACTTTTCACTAATTAATTAAAAACAAAGATTTAATTAATTACCTCCGGCAGCGGCGGCGTTGAACGATCTCTTGCAGTGCAGAATGGCGCCTTGGATCCCGTCCTGCACTTGCAGCAGCGAGTCGTCTCGGCGGCGGTTCGAGGCAGTAGGAGGCGGCGCCGCCGCTACGGCGGCCGACGCCGACCGGCTTTTTCCCAAGTGCTTCCTCACTACCTCTAGCCCTGCTTGCAGATTGTTGTTCCCTTGCTTCGGGTGGGTCTTCACATTACTCGGCGCCGCCGCCGTGCAGGCCTTGGAACCTCCGCCGTGCCCGGCAAACTTGAGCTTGGAAACACGAACGTAAAAGGGTTTCACCATTTTCAAGTACTTGTGCACCACTTGATCTTTTGTCAACTTCTTCTCATCGGAATCTTCCACGACGGCGGCGGCGCTGCTATTTTTCAGGCTTCCGCCGCCATGAATGGTTTGTTTGGAGCTGGTTTCTCTTGTAAAGAGAGATACAAAGGGCACCTCATCAACCTTAAATTTCACGGCGAGAAACTTGCGGTTGAGTTTTCCATGAGTACTTTCTCTCTCTACAATCTTCGGGGAAGAAAGTACGGCCTGAACATCGGCCTCGTCTCCATTATTACTGGGTTTCGATTTCTTGAATTTCAGCAGAAGTACCCTAAATTTGGTCGCCGATTTCACCAAGGAAACAGGGAACTTGAAATTCTCGTCAATTTTAACCAAACTACCCGGCGAAAACGCCGCATTCTGATCCGTACTACAACCGTCGTCGTTTGCCGGAGCAAATTTCAGCTCCCCTTCTTCTTGTTCTTCTTCTTCGTCAGACCCACTTTCAGTTTCATCTTCGTCGTCGTCTGTTTCTTGTGATTTCTCCGATGGGTTTTCGTCGGCGTCGCTATCTGGTTCAGGGAGTGCGAATTCGAGGTCGAAGTACGGGCCCTCCTCGCCGTCGTCGGAGGAGTAAGGGCTGACCTCGGCGGCGGCGGTGACGATGGTCTTGGTGGAGGTGGGACGTGCACTAGCGGCGGAGTCAGCGGTGAAGACGGTGGCGGTGGTGGTAGATCCACCGGAGCGCCAGTACTTGAGTAGACTGAAGGACTCCATGCTAGGTAGAGCCAGTATAGTAAATGTTGGGAGTGTGGGGGTGACTTTGCCTTTTAAAGATTCTAGAGAGAGAAACAAGAGAGAGAGAGAGTAACTCTGGTATATGGCGTGTAATGGAGGGAGGCAACTGTGTGCAGTTAAAGTCTTGAAGATGATGGTGGGCAAGTTTTATTATTAGCAGTAAAAAATTAAAAATAGAAGCGTTAAATTTATTTTAACTGACGACTTTTTACTGTAGTAAGTTTTTCTTTGTTTCGAATTTACAGTTTTCTTAACATGACCCTTAAATTGAACATTCGATTTGACTTTGACTTGCAATATTTTATTAGTCAAAACTAATTTCAATTTTGTTAAATAATTTGGAAATCGAATTCAAGAAAGAATGTTCCGAAATTGAAAAAAAAATTAGAAATTTTTGGATATACTTTCTAAATATTAAATTGAGCCGGAAATTGATCTTAATTAATTGTAAAAAGTTTGAGGACTGGATTTACGTAAGAAAATGAATCAAGAAAAATAGGGGTGGAAATTGAAACGAAAATTTTACTTTCTAACTATTAAATTGAGTTGGAAATTGACTTAATTAATTGTAAAACGTTTGAGGACTGATTTATTTGAAAAAACGAATCAAAAAAAATAGGGGTGGAAATTTGAACGAAATTTTTACTTTCTAACTATTATATTGAGCCGGAAATTGTCTTAACTAATTGTAAATAGTTTGAGGACTGGATTTATGTAAGAAAACGAATTAAGAAAAATAGGGGTGGAAATTGGAACGAAAATTTTGATTTATTCTTATTTTGATTTGAAATTTTGAGAACAATATTTATAAATACAAATCCGAAAATTCTGATTTTCGATTAGTTTTTTGTCCGATTTTTTTTTTTAATATAAACTGGAAATTTTACGAGATTCTGATTTACAATGCTATTTTAATTTTAAAAAACTCCATTTTTTTCATAAAATTACACTTAAATACCAATATTATTATGTATTCTATACTTGAGGTGACCGAGACTTGGAAATTTTGAAACATGTTTTTTCATTACAATTTCCGGAATTTTAATTTTCGATTTGTTCTATTACCAAATTAAAATTATGTATCACCTTATAAAAAAAATCAGTTTTTTTTCGAAATTACTATTTACCCTAGCAAAGAGTAAAGAACTAGGTACTTTAAAGGGGAAAAAAGGGGGAAGAAAAATAGATTTGTACTAGAATTGGGAGGAAAAAGGATAGAAGGGCAAAGTGGGAAAGAGAAAGTAGGATTAAATGTGTACGTATACAAAATTACTTATGGTGCAGTATAGTCATGTGATGTAGCAGTCTGTCTCAGTCAGTCAGTCAGTAGCTGCTGTCGTAATGTAACTTATGTCAATTCATTTTTATTTATTACAACAATTGCACGAATGTATGTGGTGAAAAGAGCGACAACCTCCTTTTTTTTTTTTTTTTTTTTGGGGTAAATAGCACTTAATCTTCTGGGTTTGGACATTTTACACACGATCCTCTTGTGGTATGAAATTAGACACATAATTCCCTTGTGGTTTGGATATTTTAGAGATGACTTCCTTATGAATGAAATTAGGCACATAATCCCCACTGTGGTTTTGAATTTTGCACATGACCCCCTTATGGTATGAAATTAACACATAACCCCCTTAAATAAAAAAACTGAAAAAGACTAAATTACCCTATCAAGTGAAAAATTCTTGTTTTAAAAAATAATTATGCTATAAAATGAAAAGCTTAATGTATTTTTTTGTAAAATGAGAAATATAATATATTATTGTGTTTTTTTAATTTTACAGCACAAAATGTATATAATACTTGTTATTGTAGGATTGACAATTTTTTTAATTTTAAAAATTAATTTGAAAATCTTTAACACTATTATTAATTATGATTATTATATTACTATTTTCTATATAATATATTATATTATAGTTGTTATCGAACTTTAATTTTTTTAAGAAACAAATCTCATTTTACAAAAAAATACATTAACCTTTTCATTTTATAGAATAATTATTTTAAATTAAAACACGAACTTTTAACTTGATAGGGGTAATTTAGTCTTTTCCAGTTTTCTATTCAAGGGGGTTGGTTATGTGCTAATTTCATACCATAAAATGGTCATGTGCAAAAATGTCAAAACCACAAGGGGGTTATGTGCCTAATTTCATACCATAAGGGGGTCATCTGCAAATGTCAAAACCACAAGGGGGTTATGTGCTTAATTTCATACCATAAGGGGGTCATTTGCAAAATATCCAAACCACAAGGAGGTTAAATGCTATTTACCCTTTTTTTTTAATTATTATTTTCCTTTTTTTAGGAATTTATATATTGTTATATTATTTAGGAATTTTTAATTATTTAAATTATAAATCTCTAGGTCACATACAGTATACTTTCAAGTTTGAACAATAATTCTCTGAATATTATTCTATACACTATAATGAAGTCAATTTGTAAATGTACGATTCATTTTGATTTTTTTTTTCTTTTTTTCTTTTTTATAAATGTGGATACTAATGTAAACCAAGTCTCTTCTTTAATAGGATATTTAAAACAAGCCCAACTTCGTACAATTATATTAGATGGGCTCATTGAAGCATATATTTCATCAAACATTTAATAATTTTTTAATATTTTTATAAAAGTTTATTTTAAAATATGTTTATATTTCAGCCCAGTGCATTTCATTGTACAACATTTGCAATTGTAACTATATTTTTTTTAATTAATAATCATGCTAATAATTTATAAGATCCTACACTCGGTGAAATACACTATGTGGTTTTAAACGGTCGATCTACATAAATAAGCACCTACTAAACCCACATACACATGAGTGTGTATGTTATTATGTGTAGATCAACGATGTAAAACTACATGGTGTATTTCACAAGGTGTAGGTTCTACAAAACCGCAATAAGACCACCTTTTTTGTTCTCCACTCTTTGATTTTACAAAAGTACCCCTGCATTTTCAAGCTCTTCCATCCCATTCTTGATAAAATTCTTCAAGGAACTCTTCCATGAATTTGTGCCTTCTTTCTGCCCTTTTCTGACCAGCCTGGCATTTATTGATCAACTTTAATACCTCATTATCAAACGTTTTAAATAACAATTTGTGTATAGAAAAAAAAATGAAAAAAAAATTCACCGAAACATGGATAGGAATGATATGAAGTACAGTCATTGAGATGCTACACCCAGTGAAAGACACTGGCCGATTTTTAACCATTGATGTGGTGAAATAACTTCTCGCACACACATACCTTGGTTTTCATGCGCAGATCAACGGTTAAAAATCACCTGGTGTATTTCACCGGGTGTAGCATCAAATAAATCTAAAGACACGGCTATTTTGTCAACTTATTTATGACGTTTATTGTTTACCTTGGTTTTCATCAACTCTTTCAACTTGAGAAGCTTCTCATGAAAATGGTTTAAGGTTGTCTGTTCGTCTTTATTCATGTACTTCTCTTTTGACAAATCTGATCGAGGTTTTATTTTCGGATCGTGGAGCACCCTGTTCCTGCTTCCGCCAAACGTAAAGCAACGAGCAATTCCTTCAAACAATTAAATCAAATTTAAATCATAATATCTCTTTGCCAAAAAAAATAAAAATCAGCACGTATATATGAAATGAAATGAAATTTTATAAACAATTGTGTTACGGTTTGAATCTGCACGTATCAAAAGTACTAACAATAAATATTTACCTATAGCACCAATTGCATCGAGACGGTCAGCATCTTGTACCACTCCAAATTCTGGACAATTATTAGTCTCCGTAACTCCACCGATCTCCTCTTTGAAACCTGAATTATATTTTTCCATGGAACAAAAAAAAGGTAAAATGCGACGGGCAATATCGAGATATTACTATATTTAACAATAGGAGAAAGTGATTAGTGGAATCTTACCCATTCCCTTAATGATGTTTAATATCCTTGTCTTGATACCTTCATCGACTCCTTCTTTGATAAGAAATTCCTCAACGATTTTCCCTTCCGAAGGATCTCTACATATCACAGTATCGAAAAAAAGGGAAAGATTAATAATGAACGCCAGTGTGAATAGAAGTAAGGAGTAGGATCTGACGGATTAGGTACTATTTACAGAATTGGAGATGTACGACTATGGAACTCGGTAGTATAATCTGGTTCTTGGACTTTATGTTTCGAACTTCAATACTACGAGGGTTTTACTAGCAAAAAATACGAAGATATAAAATAGTGCTTCATTGAGAGATTTAATATATGCGTCTGGTTTTAAGTAACACATAACCTCGGTCGAAGTACATTACGAAACAATATTGAATGGTACCAACCTCATATATTTGTAGTCCCCTGCAATTAATCATAAAAAAACCAGAACGTCAAAAGATGAGTAAACAAATATATTTATACAGTCCACATGCATAAAAGGAGTACAAAAAGTATGGCCGGTTTTGTTTAAAGCAACTATGTAGTCGTAGATTACCAGAAATTCTTTGAGATGTCGTTGTGTACAGAAGTAAACGACGATGCAAATACAATAGGCAAATTAGACAGAAGACTAGCCATCAATTCTTAAAATCAAACACGTAAAGAGCTATACTAATGATAAAATAGAAAAAACGAAATAAAGATTTGTCAAGAAAGAAACGAAGAAATCAAAGCATGGAAGGAACCAGGAAATGTAAGCCGTAATTGTTTAGAAATGAAAGAAAACGAAGGATTGTTACCTATGTCATGTAGAAGTGCAGCTAACTCCACCTGAAGAACATAAAGAGAGAAAATTTCAGCTTACATTGCTTTGCTAAGACATACTGAAAATCGACACGTAACACCTTATTCGACAATACGACAATCGCTATATAGCAACGCACCAACACTACTACGAAAATGGCAACTAGGATTCAGTAAAAACGAAGATCGGGTTTGTAATGTATGCTTAATTTTTATCAAACACCTTTATCTAAAACTGTAGAAATCTTCCAATGCATATACCCTCTATGCTTTTCAACAAACGATAGAGCCATGAAATTAGGGCAACAAATTACAAAGCAGCAAAGCAGAAAGGAGAAATTAGACAACTGGATGAATACTGCAATAAAGACGCTGCGAAAAGAAAAACCCTTGTGTGAATTTTCCGGTGTAAATCAACAAAGGTTTACATTTGTGTGCAAAAACAAACACAATTATATACTAAGTTCGCAGTTGGATTAAAAAGAAAAAATTAAGGTGAAGAAATTGGCGTACAGTAAGAATGGAATCGGGGGAATTGGAAAGGCCTTCTTCGGCGGAAAGAGAGAGGGCGAGGTCTCGAACTCTGAAAGCGTGGGCGGCGTCGTGTGATGCATCGTTGCCTTTCATGGCAAATTCCACCAATTCCTCTGCTTTTACTATTATCTCACTCTTCCCCATTGTTGTGCTCGCACTTTCTCTCTCTAGTCTCTCTCTCCCCTCTGGTTTTTCGCCTCCACCAAAACTTCAATTTCATTTCATTCTATTTTCGTTTTCTAATTTTATTTTTTTATTTTTTTATTTTCATATTAGGAGTTGGTACGACGGCCGATTAATCGATCTCTAAGACGCAGATGGACTAATACATTTATAATTTTGGTGTAAATGTTTGAGAATTTTGGTTTTGCCTGTAAGCCGGTTTGAGGTGGTCAGAAACGGTCAAACCTTGAAGACGGATCAAACTTTGGTGGTAAAAATTGTTCACGAACCGATCAATTTTTTTTCCTTGGTACAAATTGAGTTTTTAATTAAAAATGAGTTTAAGCTTTGTTTTGTTTATATTAATTATTAGTTTTAAATGTCCTAATATATATACTTGCAATGTTCGAATATAATTTTAAATGAATTAATTTTTCGTTTTATTTGAATTTTGTAAGGATTTTCATTCGATTGTGATCTTATTATTGTTATATTTAATTACATGATTACAATATATAAATGATGAGGATATAATTATATTTAAATATCTTTTTATATATACTTTGAGTACTTACAAATAATATCTAAAAATATATTACATTCAATTTGAAAAACTGATTTATTTAAAATTTATCGTCACCGCTACGCGATTAATCACGAGACGGTACGCGATTAATCATGACACGGTGCCTGACCGCCTCGTACCCAACTCCCGCTTTTTACTACATTGATTTTTAAAACGAAAATATAGATAGTGTTTGTTCATCCTAATATTTTTTTATTTTTTTATTTTAACCTTGTCATTAATTACAGAGAGCAGATTAAAGTGATCGATATGATATCATCAATGCAAAGATAATATTATTAGGAGAATAATTTTAAATTTCTTCTAAAAAAAAATTTAATAATGCTCAAGCTACACATATATAGCATAGCTATATAATTTGCCTTACAATGGCCTAATTTTTTTGAAGGCATGGCATGTAATAGTACATCAATATGGATATATAGGGCATTAATCAACATTTGCAGGGACAAGCTTAAACCACTGCCCTTGTGGATTATCCGAACATGTCGGAAAATCACGAAGATCGTCTCCAACACACAGACATTTCTTGGTAACAATGGTGAAATTATCAGTAGCATTCATTTCCAAGCACAAATACTTCCCTTTTCCATCTTGAGCCGCTAAGTGAAGGCCGGAGCTCGATACAATCTTCCACTTGCTCGAACAATCACCGGAGACACTAGCGGCACCACCATCTCCCGCCACCGTCAGACACCGTGAACTCCCCCCCGCCAACTTGATTGGTCCACCGTCTTGGTGTTGTTCCCACCGGGTCGCCGTTTCGCAGGTTGCTAGAATAATGTCGCCATACTTGTAAATGTGCGCACACTTCCCGCTTTGCGGGTGGAACATTATGTAGTAATTCGGGTTCTTCGACTCCAACTCTGGATCACATAACAAAAATAATAAACAAGATATGTATACTCCCTCTGTTTCAAATTAACTGTTTCTTTTGTTGTTTTTTTTTTGATATATATTCTCTTCATTTACAATTATGTGTCTAAACGTAATTTGAAACAGGGGCATAGTTTAGGGTTTATTACATTTAACACCCACGTGTTTAGTCTAATTCTGTAAAAAAATATCATGTTACAAATATTAGTATAAATTAAAAACCCGCCTATGATTAATTTTTTTATAGCAAAATACCCTCTAAAAATTCACCTTTTGGAGGGGTTTTTGTGCTAAAAAAATGCATCGTAGGGGTAAAATTGCTAATACTTATCGCACGAGAAGTTTTTCCAGCAATTCAATATCATACAGGGCTACTAAATTCAATAAACTCAAATTAAACAATTAATTGCGTACCTTGATTCTTCTGTCTTAGAATTTGCAGTCTGTCCAAGTACTGAGGATTTCTAGGACCATCCCAGTTAAGATCCATAACACCATAAACTTCTTCAAGATTAAGTGTTCCTTCTCTCAGAATATAGCTCCCCTGAAAAGTCCATAATGCCCAATCGATATCGATCTCCGCCACCACCGCCAGAAGGCAACTTATATACCTATTCTCCGCCTCGTTCGTACCCCTTTGGTCGATACCGAATTCACTCAGAAAGAGAGGGAAAGGGTTCTCCCCCGTGGTCAAGAAAATGTAATTGTCGCGTGCGATTTTTGTGACGGCGGCGCATAAGTTGTTCGTTTGTGCGTCCCATTTGTCTGCCCCGGTGCCGAATGTGTACCAATGTGCTTCGTACACTAACTTGTTGTCTAGGTTTTTTTGTAGTGGCAACGGTTTTTCCTTTAAGAATCCGAGGTTTGTGTCGTAGTAGAGACCCGAGACTATCACGAGGAAATCGGGATTCTCTTTGTGGATTGCTTTGGCTCCTTGTTGCATGTATTTGTACCAGTCGTCCGTGTTTTGACGTGGGCCGCGTAGCTCGTTTCTCATGCTCATGCCGACCACCTGGAAATTCGAAACATCGTAGCTAAATTATATGATCATTAAATTAAAAAACATAGGATTTTATATTTAATTACAAATAACAAGAATAAAAATTAGGGAACGATTAACTATCCTCTTTAAATAAAAAAAAATAAAGAAAAAGGAAAATTAATAAAAGAAAAGAAGGTAGCCTCTTTTATTCTTTATTATTAGTTTTTTTTTTAAATTAAAAACATTTAGTAAGACCCATCTCTGTTATGAAGTAGTCTCATTTTTTGTGTAATGAAAACAAACTTATAACATAAAATCACAAAATTCACACACAAAATAAACCAAAAACACGTTACATTACAAGCACTAAGCACACAATATAAACACGTACACGCACATTACAGTAGTAATTACATCATAAACACATGATCACACACACCAAAAACACACATACAAACATACACGATTTCTCAAATCTTGGTGTGTACGTTTTCATATGTATATGTATATGATTTTGCATGTGTGTGAGTGTGTGTGTATTTTCAAATGAAAGATCTACATAGAAGGAGGTGAAGAAGTAGCAGATAAACTTGTAATAAAGAAAGTATAGATATTAATTGGGAAAATTAATTACAATTTTAACCCCTCATGTTTGCACCGATTTCACATTTGATCCTTATGTTCACAAAACACACATTTGGTTCCTCATGTTTCAAAAATTTAACACATTTGGCCATTTTCATCAATTTATCGTTGGTTTTTTAGTTAAGGCAGTGATGGAGAAACGCTTGATTTCGTTGGTATTAGTAAAAAAAGACGGAAAGTACTAAAAATGTTGAATTTTTGAAACATGAGTGACCAAATGTGTATTTCCGTGAACATGAGGGGTCAAATATGAAATTGGTGCAAACTTGGAGGATGAAAACTTATTTTTCCCGATATTAATTACAGCAGAGAAAAAAATAGAAAATTTTCTTTTACTATATACTCACCGCAGAATTACCCTTATATGCCCTTGCCACCGCAGTTAACCCTTGCAACCATTCAGCCGGGTCAAAGTTAGCATCCCCGAAAAACCCGTTGCCATCGTTATCACCGCAGCACCACCCTGGTTGGCTGACGTGGTTATCAAGAACCACCATCACCTTATTCTTACCAAGCTCATTAACCACAGCCATGTGAACTTCGGCCACTTTCATGCTCAGAAACCCAGGGTTATTTTCGGCAATACCTGATTTTGCAGCTGTCAGGTTATATTTATCGAGCGATTCGGAAACAGTAAGGTTGTAATAATCAGGCCTGGTGAACATAAAAGTCGGCCAAGTGAACCTCACGCAATTGAACCCCGTTTCCGGAACCTTCTTCGCTATGTAGCTCAACGGCTTCTTCTCCAGGCCTTCTGCTACCATTGGCTGTAAATGTGAAACCCAATTCGCGCATGTTAGTTTCACTCGTTTTCCGGTTTCTTGATCGATTATCCACCTGGAATTTGTTGACAGGGGGACTGAATTGCAAAATGTAGCAACTTGGAGAAATGTAAAAAGGAAAATTGCTACACTAGCCCTTTTTCTTGCCATTTTTATTTTATTTTGTGGTTTTAAATTATGTGATAGTATTTGTTACGTTTGATGAAGATGTGTATTAAATATATAGTACCCATTTATAATTTAGGTACTAAATTTGGCAGACTGGAAAAAAAAATACAGTCTTGAAAGCAAATTGGTTGCTTATCCCAAATTAGTCACGAGGAAAGTTTTCATTATTGTCCTTTTCCTTGTGGTAATTATTTTTTGGGCAAATTTACGGCCACCCCCCAAGGTAAGGTTAAATTCCAAAAAAACCCCTCTTGTTTGGGTAATTACAATCATCCCCTCAAGTATGTATTTTTTTACACGTTCACCCTTACGGTGTTAAATTTAGCTACTGTATAAGGGGTTTTTCTGTAAGAAAATACATAGTTGAATGGGTGATTGTAATAATCAAAACAGAAGGGGATTTTTAGTAATTTGTCCTTACTTCAGGGATGACCGTAATTTGCTTAACAATCGGACAAAAGACTTTTAACCTCTGGTATTAAATGCCGGTTTCCATTTTGATTAGAAAGAAAACAAAGAAGTCCAGCACCACCAATTCTTGATCTAGTTAGGGTAATTAATTGAAGATTACATTTCATATCACAATCTAGAAGTTCTTAATTAGACTTATAGTCAAATATAATTATTTGAGATATAAATATCAAACTATATTCACCTTACTAACAATTTAAACTTTCAGGTTCGAATATCACTGTCACAATATCTTCCAAAAGACGACACCCCGTTAAAATAAAGTGATCATTCAGCATTCATTATAAAAAATAGAAAAACAAAATAATTATTCAATTAAATGAATAATCCAAAATCAGGAGAAAAAACTAAAATCAAATTTGGCAAAATGTTAAAATCAGTCCTTGTAGTTTGTATATATATAGGGAAATAGGTCAGTTTATCAAAAAAATGCAGTTAAAGCCAAGAATGTAAACATCATAATTCCATGTGGGACAGGTGGGTGTTATTTCAGAAGATGCTATCTGGGCTAAAATGTAAATATATAATTTCTATGGATTCTATGTCAAGAAAAATTGAATGATTGTTTTTGATGTGAAATAGTTTTACATGTAGCTTGTCGATCTAGCTCACGAGCTGGTAAATTGATCGAAAATGCCGGGAGTTTTTTATTTATTTTTATGGGCAAATTACACCTGCACCCCTGATGTATGTTAAAATAACTTTAAGATCCCTATGATATTGGTAATTACAGTCACACCCCTAAAACAGTTACTGGAGCCAAGATTTCATGTTCTGGTTACCGATATGCAGTCTAGTTGTTTCCCACGGGGCCGTTAATGCTACCATAGACATAAATTTATAAATCTTATATAAAATAATAAGTATTTAAGAAATGTTAGGAGAACCATGTTACCCCTAGCTCTATGTTGTCTCCACCATTGTCTGAAACTAATAGTTCGTTAGGACCCTAACGGAATAACTTATCTAGTGTATTATTCCGTTAGGGTTCCTAACAATGTTTCATGGAGTGGTTGTAATTACCGATATTACAGGGATTTTAAAGTTATTTCAGCATACTTCAAGAGTGCATGTGTAATTTATCCTATTTTAATATATATATAAGAAAATGATATTGAATTTGCACGAAAATGTGGAGAGTTGGTACACAAGATATTTGAGCGTAAAATGGAGAAAAATGCTAACTCGCCGCCTATTTCACGGACACACTTTATAGAAAGTATCGGAACAATTTAGAAAAAAAAAATTGAAAATTGGAATTTCGAAAATTTGTTCCAAGATTGAAAAAATTCGGGAAATATCACCGGAACATAATTTTCAGAATTCAGAACGAAAAATAGTTTACCAAAGTAGGAAATTATCGGCAGAAACTGAAAAATTTGTTCCAATTTTCACCATTTAATATTCAATGTTGAATTTATTCTTCTACCGTATCGCCCTTATAACATTCAATGTCAATTTTTATTTATTAAATTTTTGAAATTAGACCTATATATAGATGATTAAAACAAATTTCCTAATTGTATCAATTAAATAAAAAGATGATCTAATTTCTTCCTATTAATTGTTCTAATCACATTGGTTCAACACCTATGATCATAAACAATTACATTAATTTAGTTCCACCTCAATATATATATATATATATATATATATATATATCTTATTTCTGCCCTAATATACTGCCTAGTAACTAAAGAGCATTACATATTACACATTTGCAGGGACAAGTTTAAACCACTGCACTTCCGGATTATCAGCACATGTCGAAAAATCACGAAGATCGTCTCCAACACACAGACATTTCTTGGTAATAACGGTGGAGTGATCGGAACCGTTCATTTCCAAGCAGAAATACTTCCCCATTCCATCTTGAGCAGCCAACTGAAGGCCGGAGCTTGATACATACTTCCACTTACTTCTACAATTACCGGAAACACTAGCTGCACCACCATCTCCCGCCACCGCGAGGCACAGTGAACTCCCCGACAACTTCATCAGACCCCCATCTTCGTGTTGATCCCACCGGCTCGCCGTTTTGCAGTTGGCTAGTAGAACATTGTTAGTATTGCCAATTTGCACACACTGCCCACTTTGAGGATGCAACATTATGTAATAACTCGGGTTCTTCGAATCCGCCACTGAATATAGTCACATGATTAATTAATTACAGTTAAATTATTTTTCAACGTAGAAATTCCTATGCGAACAAAAATTAAAATTTATTGCATTCAGCACCCCGATATTGATTCTAATTATCAGAAGTCCTCGTACTATTAGTATTAGTAAAAATCCCATATAATGCAACTTTTTTAATTTAAAACCTCATCATTTAGGGGTCCAAGTGTGTGCTAAAAAAATGCATTATAGGGGATTTATTTAATATTAATAAAACAAAATTTTTTTTTAACAATTAATTCAATATAACACATGGGTACTAAATACAAAAAAAAATCACAAGAATTATATTATACTACCTCGATTCATCGTACAATTAATTTTCATTTTAGAATAATCCTATGGGGTCTACTGCATTCAACGCATCTCTAATTGTCAAATAAGTCCTCGTGTTATTAATATTAGCTAAAAAAATTCCCTACAATGCAACTTTTTTCGCGAACCACCCCAAAAAACTCACTATTCAGGAGGTTGTCGGCTAAAAAAATGTATTGTAGGGGCGTTTTGCTAATATTATATTAATGTCACGAGATTTGTTTTTAGCAATTAAACTCAATAAACTCAAATTCCATGCATATAAACAAGAAGGGCAAATTACACACACCCTGATTGTAATTACCAATACTACATTAACCTTAAAGTTATTTTAACATACTTCAGGAGTATAAGTGTAATTTATCCAAATAAGAATTATTACGTACCTTGATTCGTTTGTCTTAGAATTTGCAGTCTGTCGACAAACCCCGGATTTCTAGGAGCATCCCAATTAAAGTTCATAACTCCATAAGCCTCATCAACATCAGGTTTCCCCTCTCGAAAAATATAGCTCCCCTGAAAAGCCCACAACGCCCAATCGATATCAATCTCCGCCACCGCCGCCAGCAAGCAACTTATGTATCGATTATCGGCCTCGTTCGTACCTCTTTGGTCGATACCGAACTCGCTCAAGAACAGCGGATAAGCGTGGTATTGGCTTGTCAGGAAGAGATAGTTCCGTTGAGCCGTTTTGGTGAAGTCGGCGCACAAATTGTTCGTCTGAGCTTCCCATTTGTCCGCACCGGTGCCGAACGTGTACCAATGCGCTTCGAACACTATCTTGTTGTTTATGCCGATTTCGAAATCCGTTAGTTTTAAGAAACTGAGGTCGGAATCGTAGGAAGTGCCGGAGACGACGATGAGAAAATCGGGGTTTTCTGTGTGGACCGTTTGAGCGCCGGCTTTCATATATCTGTACCAGTCAAGTAGGTTTTGTCCTTTGCCACGTAGCTCGTTTCTCAAACTCATTGCTACAACCTGTAATAAGTATTAGAATGTCAATTGTTTCTTTTGTATATAATATCGGGCAAATTGCACTTCGTTCCCTATAATTTTTTTATTTTTGCACTATCCCCTCGAAATATTGCTTTGGTTGCACTTTAGTCTAAAAAGTCAATTTTCAGTGGGCATCGCGCAACAGTACTAACATTTTAGAGGGGATATGTAAAAAAATAACGTTTTTAAGGGGTAAAGTGCTACAAAAATAACATTTAAAGGGGCAACGTGCAAGAAAAACACTCAATTCCAATTATGGTGAATAATCTATCGAAATTTTGCTATAGGGGCAATGTGCAATAAGAATAATATTTTGAAGAGGGACGTCCACTTTGTAAAATTTTGAGGGGTTAAAGTGCGAAAGTCAGAAATTTATATGGGGTGACGTGCAATTTAAAAAAGTGAATGTGTCATTTCAAAATGTTATACTTGTTGCACATTGCCCGTTAGCTAAATTCCGATGGATTATTAACAAAAATTAAGTGTTGTTTTCTTGCACGTTGCCCCTTTAAATGTTATTTTTGTTGCACTTTGCCCTTAAAAACATTATTTTTCTATACATTGCCCATTTAAAATGTTATTTTGTTACCGAAAATTAGCTTTTGGGGCAAAGTGCAACCACACCAATATTTCGAGGCGGGTTATCTCTTTTCTGAATTTTTTAGGGGAGAAAGTGCCAAAAATAGAAATTTATAGGGGGTGAAGTAAATTTTGTCCATAATTATAATCAAATCTGAATTTAAATTAGGACAAAATGCACTTCACCCTGGCACCCCCTACAAATTTTCTATTTTTGCACTTTCCTCCATAAATATTCAAAAACTGAATAATCCCCCTTCAAAATATTATTTTGGTTGCACTTTGCCCCAGAAGCCAATTTTTGGTGGACATTGTGCAATAAAAATAACATTTCAAATGGGCAATGTACAAAAAGATAATATTTCTAAGGGGTAAAACGTACAACAAAAATAACATACAAATGGGCAATGTGCAACAAAAATACTCAAACGTCGATGAATAATCCATTAAATATTTGTTATCAAGGCAATCTGCAACAAGAATAACATTTTCAAGGGGGCATTCACTTTGTAAAATTTGACAGGGTAAAGTGTCGAAATTAGAAATATTTTAGGGGGTAATATGCAATATTGCCGCTTAAATTAAAACAGTACTAACCGCGGGATTTCCCTTATAAGCCCTGGCCACAGCAGTTAACCCCTGCAGCCATTCATCAACGGCAAAATACTTGTCACCCCAAAACCCATTGCCATCGTCATCACTACAGCACCACGTCGGCATGCTGACTGTATTATCGAGCACCACCATCAAATTGTTCTTACCGAGCTCACCCACCACGGCTTTCTGAACATCTATTACACTCATCTCCAGAAACTGCGCATTGTTTTTCCCGATCCCTGCTTTCGCCGCCGCCAGGCTGTACCTATCCAGAGATTCCGATACTTTCAGGTTGACATATTCCGGCCTGGTGAACATGTACGTGGCCCACGTGAGCCGCACGCAGTTGAAGCCGAGCTTCGCTATCTGGCTCGCTATGTAGCTCACCGGCTTCTTCTCCAGCCCTTCTGGTAGCATCGGCTCCATGTGCGCCGCCCAGTTCGCGCAGGTGAGTTTGACTCGCTTTCCGGTTCCTTGGTCGATTATCCACCTGGAATTTGTTGACAGGGTGATTGCTTCACAAATTGTAGCGAATTGTAGGAAAACAAACAGGAGGCCGATTATGGCTTTGGTTGCCATTTTTTTTTTCTTCTTGATTTGTGTTTTGAAAATGTAAGTGATTGTGTTTTGTGTTATATAATTGGAACATAATCTTTTGCAGAGGATTTGGTGTATAAATTCTACTGTTATTATTGAAATCTAATTCCAGATTACAAGAATTTATTGTCGTAATTAATTAATATTGTCGTAATTTATTAATTTTAATATATCTTATATGATTGCCAAAATCTTGAGCCCATAATCTGAGTGCCGATTCTAACTTTAAAAGGAGATTAGAAAATGAAAATTGTATTTAATTAATTTCATCAATTTTGAACTTTTCCCATTTGTAATTGTAGCTAATACAAATTATGGCTGGAAGATATTGCATTTGATTTTTTTTAAATTTTTTTTTTTAAATATGAATATACGAGTAAAATCGATTACTATCGACGAATGTGTTTGTCCGATCCCTACCTACTTAACGAGTCTTCACGTGTTTAATAGAATTTTATGTCACAGGCGGATTTAACATGTTAATAGTAACTCAACCTTGTGAGTCCATTCAAAATTTGAGAAAATAAAGAAATATAGCTTTGACTCTATAATTAATCCTTGAATTCACAAACACTTTCCTACTTCTCCTCTTTGTTCATACTTAATTGTACAATAGATAGGATAAAATGAATAGTTAGATACATTATTATTTATTCATTAATCTTATTTAATATGATAAATGTATATTTATGCCTAGAATAATATAAATAGACGCGGAATTTCTACTTGCAGTTCAAGGAAGAGATACGTACTCTAAAATTATTTCCCTATTAATCTTGTTCGTATATTTCCGCAAGTGGCGTCAAAGCCTTTTGATCGATCTAATCAACTGGGGCGTTTAATTCAACAAGTTTTATCAAGAGTACGATAAATATGTAGACGAAGGTACTAAAAAATATTCCTTTGTTAATTTAATTTTCATATATTTTTCGCAAAATATCCAGCACAATTGAATTATATTTATTTGAGTAGCTAGGAGCATTACACGTTTGCAGGAACAAGCTTAAACCACTGCACTTGTGGATTATCAGCACATGTCGAAAAATCGCCAAGATCGTCTCCAACACACAGACATTTCTTGGTAATAACGGTGGAGTGATCGGAGCCGTTCATTTCCAAGCAGAAATACTTCCCCATTCCATCTTGAGCAGCCAACTGAAGGCCGGAGCTCGATACATACTTCCACTTACTCGTACAATTATCGGAAACACTAGTTGCACCACCATCTCCCGCCACAGCAAGGCACAGTGAACTCCCCGACAACTTCAACGGACCACCGTCTTGGTGTTGATCCCACCGGCTCGCCGTTTTGCAGTCGGCTAGTCGAACACTGTTATTATTGCCAATTTGCACACACTTCCCACTTTGAGGGTGCAACATTATGTAGTAACCCGGGTTCTTCGAATTCGCCCCTGAATATAATCACATGATATTAATTATTTTTCAACGAAGAAATTCTACGTAAACGAGAGTTAGAGTTTATTGCATTCGGCACCCTTGAATGTACTCTAATTGTTAAAAAGTCCTCGTATTATTAATATTAGTAAAAGTTACATTATAGGTGGGTTTTGTTAATATTAATAAAATAAAGATTTTTTAGCAATTCGATATAACACATGGATACTAAATGCAGTAAACTCACAAGAATTACGTACCTTGATTCACCTGTTTTAGAATTTGCAATCGATCTACGAAAGCAGGATTCTTAGGACCATCCCAATTGAAATTCATAACTCCATACGTCTCTTCAACATCAGCGTTCCCCTCTCGAAGAATATAGCTTCCCTGAATAGCCCATAACGACCAATCGATATCGATCTCCGCCACTGCCGCCAGCAAGCAAGTTATGTACCGATTATCCGCCTCGTTCGTACCCCTTTGATCTATACCGAATTCACTCAAAAATAACGGGTACGGGTTTTCTTTTGTTGTCAAGAAAAAATATTTATCTCGAGCGTTTTTGGTAAAATCGGCGCATAGCTGGTTTGTTCGAGCATCCCATTTGTCTGGACCGGTGCCGAACGCGTACCAATGAGCTTCGTACACTATCTTGTTGTTTATGCCTGATTGGAGATCTTGTTGCTTTAAGAAACTGAGGTCGGAATCGTAGGAAAGTCCCGACACGATGATGAGAACATCAGGGTTTTGTGTGTGAACTGTTTGAGCGCCAGCTGCCATGTTTTTGTACCAGTCGTTCGTGTTCTGCCGATTGCCTCGTAACTCGTTTCTCAAACTCATGGCTACAACCTATATATAAAAACCATGTTAGACTAGCTCGATCAGATCTGGAAATTTATAATTAAATGAAGGGATAATTTCCTAAAAGCCCATAAAATATTGACTTAATTCTAAAAGGGACTTCCATTTTTTTATATTTTGCAAATAAATCCACCACTTATGCATTCATTACTAGGCAACTCTAGCTTTTATGAAAAAAATACCCCTAACTATTTTTAAACATCCAATTTATGATTTGAAACCCTAATTTAACCATAATTTCACATTTTTTTACCATTGACCGCCGCCAACCACTGTTGACCGTTGGTCTACAAAATATGATTGACTTTGTTGTTTCTAGTTTCTTTTGACGAACATAGTAATGTTACTGTGTTAATCGGAAAAAAAAAATTAATAACTAAAAAAAATAACTTATTTTTTTTATAAATATATAAAACTTTAAAATTAAAAAAATCAACGGCGCGGCGTTTCAAAAATTTGGTCAAAATCGCTACAGAGCAGCGGAAATAAGCGATAAAAAACCGACTTCAGAAGAGGTATACATCGAGAAAGTCAGGCTACAAAAATATTTTATCGAGTTCAACCAAAGCTGTTCAAACCGAGGTCAACGGTCAAAATTAGTTAATTGGTAAAAATTAGAGTCAAATTAGAATTTGAGGATGAAATTGGATAAAAATTAGGATTCGAGGGGTATATTTGTGAATGATGATGAACTTGATGTTTTCATCATGTCCTTTTAGGTAAGAAAAAAAAATATTTTTGTATGGACCGGTTTGCAAATAATCAAATAATATTTACCGCGGGATTGCCCTTATAACTCCTGGCCACAGCAGTAAGACCCTGCAACCATTCATTCGTATCGAAATTAGCGTCGCCGAAAAACCCGTTACCGTCGTCATCACCGCAGCACCACCCCGGCAGGCTGACGTGGTTGTCGAGCACCACCATCAAATTATTCTTACCAAGCTCACCGACCACAGCTTTCTGAACATCTATTACACTCATCTCCAGAAACTGCGGATTGTTTTTCCCGATTCCAGATTTCGCCGCCGCCAGGTTGTACTTATCCAGGGCTGCCGATACTTTCAGGTTGGAATATTCCGGCCTGGTGAACATGAACGTGGCCCACGTGAGCCGCACGCAGTTGAAGCCGAGCTTGGCTATCTGGCTCGCTATGTAGCTCACCGGCTTCTTCTCCAGCCCTTCTGGAACCATCGCCTGTAAATGCCCCGCCCAGTTCGCGCAGGTGAGTTTGACTCGGTTTCCGGTTCCTTGATTGACTATCCACCTGGAACTTGTTGACAGGGTGGCTGATTCACAAATTGCAGAGAATTGTAGGAAAATGAACAGGAGGATGATTATGGCTTTGGTTGCTGGTTTAAAGCCCGCCATTTTTTTTATTTTTTTTTCTTGATTTATTTTTTCTAGGTGATTGTGTTTGTCTTATATAGGTGACATGTTCACCATAATTTGTTGAGGATTTCGTGTGTAATAAAACAAATTCTAGTGTTCTTTGAAATTTTATTTGAGATTACGAGAATGTTTTTTTTCTTTTTTTTTTGGAAATTTTATTTGAGATTACATAGATATGAAAGTAACTTCATATAATCATTTGCAATCTTAGCCCCAATCCTTTTAAAATATAACATTTTTGCACTTTGCACCCTCCAAAACAATTAATAATACTTTGCACCCTCAAAAGTCAAAACACAATAAATCATTCACAACGCGCCATGAATTAAATATTTAAAGCTTAGCGAGGGTACTAATTTCAACTTTTGTTGGTTATTTATTTCCAGAGTGTAAAATAATAAATTAAATTGTTATTTTCTTCAACCCCAACATAAATTCGAGCGTACAAAATGCAAAAAGGAAAAAAAATCACAACGAATTACTGAAAAAAACTATAATTTCTTCAAAAGAAACAAAACATTACTCACTAAATCGTTCGATTGATGGATTTTTTATTGCTATTAGTGAAAATAAGTAACTCGATAACAAATTAGCTGAAGAATTTTTATATTTTTTGTTTTTTGTAAAATGTTTTTCCGTACATTTTTTTAATCTACTGATTAAATGTATTTTTTCACTTAGCTATTTCAAAAAGATTGACGAATATAAAAAAAAAAATTGACATTTGACATTTGACATTCTAAAAAAATGTCACTAAAAATATTGAATTATCTTCATTAAGCTTTAAAAAGTCATTCAGGGTGCAGTATGCATGATTAATTGTGTTTCGAATGTGCAAACTGCTATTAATTATTTTTAAGGGTGTAAAATGTCAAAAAAAAACTTTATTTTAAGGGGGCAAAATAGAATTAAGCCCTCTAAGTAAAAACATATTTCAGTTACACATTTTATTCAACCTCAACCCTAACACTCTTTTCCATGCCCTAGCATTAATACAAAATCAACAAGCTTATTACACATTCACAGCAACAAGCTTAAACCACTGCACTTGTGGATTATCGGAACATGTCGGAAAATCGACTAGATCGTCTCCAACACACAGACATTTCTTGGTAACAATGGTGGAGTGATCAGAAGCATTCATTTCCAAGCACAAATACTTCCCTTTTCCATCTTGAGCCGCTAAGTGAAGGCCGGAGGTCGATGCAATCTTCCACTTGCTCGAACAATCGCCGGAAACACGGGCGGCACCACCATCTCCGGCCACCCCGATGCACTGTGGACTCCCCGCCAACTTTATCGGACCACCGTCTTGGTGTTGGTCCCACCGGCTCGCCGTTTTGCAGTTGGATAGAATAATGTTATTGTTCTTGCCAACTTGCACACATTGCCCACTTTGAGGGTGGAACATTATGTAATTAGTTGGCTTCTTGGACTCCAACTCTGAATCGCGTATCAACACGTATTATATAAGGAGTTAATTGCAACTACGAATCAGATCAGAATTAACCTTTTTTTCCAAAAAAATCGATTTTTTTCAGAAGTGAAAATCTCATTCCGATTCCGTTGCAATAATGAAAAAAAAATGGAAAAATTAGTTCCAAAATCGGCATTTCGGAATGTTCCAATTTATTTAGTAACCTAACATATAAAATGCATAATAATATTGCTATTATAAGTGTAATTCTTCGAAAAAATCAAAATTTTCGTAGTTAAAAATTTGATCAAAAACCGAACTCTCATATATATTCAAATTCAAATCTAAATCGAAATTCATAATGAATAATATTGTTTCAAAAAATCGGAAAACTTCGGATATTCAGAATTTCCGTTCCAATTTCCACCCCGTAAGTCTAGTTAATACGAAGAAATTAAATTCTATGTAACTACGAATTACGCGTACCTTGATTCATCTGTCTTATAAGTTGCAATTTATCCAAAAAAGCCGGATTTCTCGGACGATCCCAATTAAGGTCCATAACTCCGTAAGCCTCTTCCGAATTAACTTTCCCTTCTCTCAAAATGTAGCTACCTTGAAAAGTCCATAACGCCCAATCGATATCTCTATCCGCCACCGTGGCCAAAAGGCAAGTTATGTACCTATTTTCCGCGTCATTTCCACCTCTTTGATCGATACCGAATTCGCTCAAAAACAGAGGAGTCGGGTTTTGGCTTGTCGTCAAGAAAAGGTAATTATCTTGAGCCCTTTTCGTCATAGTAGCGCAAAGTTGGTTAGGTTGAGTTGCCCATGTTTCAGGAGGGACGCCGAACGTGTACCAATGCGCTTCGTAAACGAGCTTGTTTTTTAGGTTATTTACTTGTAATGGATGCCCGTTTAAGAAATTGAGGCTAGTATCGGTGTACAACCCTGATACGATGACGAGAAAATCGGGGTTTTCTTTGTGGATGGCTTCGGCGCCGGCTTGCATGTATTTGTACCAATCGTTCACGTTTTGTCTACCACCTCGTAGCTCGTTTCTCATACTCATGCCTATAACCTGAAAATAATCATAAAGTCGGAACTTTGTGAATTACTATTTAACTATATATACGAACATATGTAGAGATGGCCACGGTCCAGTTTGAACCGTAAATCGGTCCGGAATTGTGCCGGGAAACGCGCGAAATTGACGGTTGAACGTGATGGAGTAATGTAAACAATGCATAATCAACGGAGTAATAAGAGAATAATCAAGAACATGATAGATAATAGTAGAGTCTTATAAGAGAAAGACAGATCCAAAGACTAGGGGTGAAAATTGGAACGAATTTCCTATCAGAATATTTCCGATTTTGGGTCAATTGTTTTTACTACGATTTCCAAGTTTTCCGGGGTTTTTTTTTTTTTTTGGAATAAAATTGGAATGCATATTAGATTCTGATTTCTGAAGATTTATTCTTCTGAAATATACACTTATAATAATAATACTATTATGTATTTAATATAATGTTCAAAAAATATTTATGTATGTTATATTATAGAAGGCTAAAAAATGGAAATCAGAGTCCCGCCAATTTCGATCAGAAAAATTTTCAGCATGAATTTCTCATCAATTTGTTTGCATTTTTTTTTCTCGGAAAACCGGTCCGAAATTATCAGAACCGCATGCACATAAACCGGCCGGAAACAACCAACCCCATTAGTAATTAATACATACATATATAAATGAAATATACTCACCGCAGAATTACCCTTATACGCCGTTGCCACCGCAGTGAGGCCTTTCAACCATTCCGTCGGGTCAAATAAAGCATCCCCGAAGAACCCATTGCCGTCATTGTCAGCACAGCACCACCCGGGCTGGCTGATGTGGTTATCGAGCACCACCATCACCTTATTCTTACCGAGCTCGTTAACCACAGCCTTGTGAACTTCGGCTACTTTCATGTTCAGAAACCCAGGGTTATTTTTGGCAATACCTGATTTCGCAGCTGTCAGCTTAAATTTGTCGAGCGATTCGGAAACAGTAAGGTTGTAATAATCGGGCCTGGTAAACATAAAAGTTGGCCATGTGAACCTCACGCAATTGAACCCCGTTTCCGAAATCTTCTTCGCTATGTAGCTCAACGGCTTCTTCTCCAGGCCTTCTGCTACCATTGGCTGTAAATGTGAAACCCAATTCGCACATGTTAGTTTCACTCGTTTTCCGGTTGCTTGATCGACTATCCACCTGGAATTTGTTGACAGGGGGACTGAATTGCAAAATGCAACAATTTGTAGGAGAACAAATAACAGGACAATGGCTTCATGACTAGCCCTTTTTTCTGCCATTTTTTTTCTTGCAAAAGTAATTTCACTTTATTTGTATAAATGTAATTATCTAATTTTCTTCTATATATAATAAAATAAAATGTGCTGGTTATTGAATTTTTATTTGTAATCGGAGATTTGGTGCGGTCGAACGAGCTACATGGGTGTGATTGTTATTTTCTGTTATAATTTGTTAAGTATCTAATGTTAAATGATTATTGCAAAATTATCAAATCTTGATTTTATTATAGTGCTGGATTGTTTCTAGTTTCTACTAATTGAAAGAAATTAGAAAATGTTAATTGTCACGAAAACAGGTTCGGTAAATGGAAATTAATGTATTTTAGTATCGAAGTTTAGAAGTTCGCTTCCGACGGCAGCTATAATATATTGAGTTCTTTTTGCACTCGTCGCCCATGTGTAATTTCGAATTGCCGAAGAAAAATTTGTGTTAAAAGATTAGCGCATACCCACATATGAAAATTAGTCGAAAGCAAAAAAGGCCTGGAGATAGTTTTATTAATTCTTTTTTTCTTTCCGAGAATCGATTAAACTAACAACAACTTCTCATTCGCCAAATTTAAGGACTATCATATTTTTGTTACAATTCGAAATTTCCCCTTCCAACAAAAAGAAAAAAGAAAAATAATGATTAATTTGGAAAAAAAAGAGCAAACTACTTGGCTTTCTTTTGATCGGAAACCCGAGCACCCATAACCTTGACGACAGCTTCATCCTTCGATCGGAGTAGCTTCAAAGCTGGATGCACGTTGAGATTTCCCGCAACTATCTTCTGCCCGACATCCAGCTCGCTTAAATCCACGTCAATGTACGGAGGTACGATATCTGCAGGGCAAAGATACTTGACGGTTCTTTTAATGATGTTCAAAGACGACCCTGCAAAAGCAAATTTACATATGGTATTAGTCGAAAATCAGAACAGCAACCGCAGACATTTATCGGTTAACATAACAATATATGAATTGTATAATCATAAATCCCATACGTAAGATAGTAAGATAATCACGTCTTACTTTATCATACACAATGTAATCCTATCCAATTCAATCAATCTTATCACTCCAATCAATATTCCCAAACGAGGACTAAATGGTTTGATTATTTGCTACGACGAATCACTTATTGAGAAATTTCAGAACTCACGCAAATAGTTTGGAAGCTGCTTGATTCTAGTTGATAAAAAATGCATCATTAAGGTAATATAGACGTAAATAGCAAGAGGGTTGAGTGAAAGATTTACAAACCCGTTAAAAAAGATTATATGAATACCTTTTTTGAGACCTGGGGAAACATCGTCTCCTCTGAAAACGAGAGGAATATCAACCTTTAACCAAGCACTAGACGGAGCTCTTATGAACGTAACATTAAGCACAGCATCCGTGCCTGCATGAAGATGAAGCTGACACGTATCAAGAAAGATTAGATCAGCATTTAACCCGATAAGTTCACTGCTTTTATACATAAAAATTGCTTGAAAACGATAAACCATATATGCTACAAATCTCGATTATAATCACTTATAAAATCTAAGTTCGGACCGTTGGATAAGTGACCTGCTTATTACATCATATACCTGCACTAATATTCTATACGTTCGTTAAATTTACTACTGAACAAAGTTTCGTATGCATTCATATAAAAAAAGAAGTCCACGTGATTTTGAAGCAACACTCTCATATAGCCCCAAGAACGTGTCTATATGTACGAGCAAACCGCAAACGAGGATTACATTGTCCATGATAACGTAATATGTGATTAGTTTGAAATTCATATCTATGCGTCCTTTGTAGGATTGTGTATGTAATAGTAGTAATAGGGTTGAGGTTGGAATCAACACCATTCGTATACTCGCTTAAATTCCGGGCTCGTTTATAATTACATTTTCCATCGAATCATATCCTTATTCCCAAACGAGGCCTAAACAAGGACCTTTGATGAGTTATCGTTACTATTTCAGACTCGGTGCGCCAGTGGAGCATCTTTCTCGATCCTATATCAATTTTAATTTTCAATGCGGCATTACCACACTTCGCCGCAGAAAGCAAAACTTTCTTCGCCCAATTTGTAGACCGAAATTACCATATCGAAATCGAGATACATACGTAAGTTGTTAAATCAATATTTCAGAAAAAAAAAATTGAAAAATTTCAACTCACTTGCTGTGAATTCCAATTTGAAGAAAAATAAAATATTCAAAAAATAAATATTGAACGGCGGAGATTCGTTTACCTTCCGAGGCAAGACGCGAACTTTCTCAACAATTTCATCGGACTGAAACTCCGGCCGAACCTCGAGATCAAAAACCCTAGATAGAAAGAAGGATCGGCCCATGTGATTCACGAGCTTCTTAATCTGATTCGTCTGCACGGAGATGAGGCGCTTGTTGCCGCCGTGCTGGCCGTCCTCCGCCTCGAAGACGATGCTGGGTACGCGGCCGGCTTTCCTCTCCTTGGCGGAAATGTTCTTCCCGGAGATTGCTCGTGGGATGGCGTTAATGATTTCGTCATATTTTGGGTCCGGCCTTGGGAATCCATCCAGGTAAGAGAATTCCTGCGGGGTCTCGAATTCTTGAAGGAGTGCGGCGGTGGAGAAACGCCGGAGGTGGTGCACGGTGGCGGTGCTCAGTGCTGCTACTCGGCGGATCAGCATTTGGAATGGATCTAGGTTCGGGGTTAAGGAGGGTTTTGAGAGAGAGAGAGATCAGTCAGCTGGAAGTGGAGAAGAGGAACTGAGGAAGAGGCCATTTTTGTTTGATTTGGGCTTTTATTTTCGGGCTTCTGTTTTCGGGCTTGTATTGTTGGGCTTCATGAAATGGGCCCATGTTGTTATCTACATCTATATATATGTCATGAAAAAAATAAACAAACAAAATGACTACAATGACCTCGTTTTACTACCCATTCGAAAAAAATCAAATTAAAAAACTTCGAAACTAAAAATATATTTTTTTAGATTATTATTTCTATAATATATGTGTCGATAGGTTGTGCGTGTAAAATAAAAGTAAGCTTAATATGTCTAATTGGGTCAACCCAATGGACCTACAATTTCTTTACCTATTGGGCTACGAGTCAAATATTGAAGACCACTACAACCGAGGTCCAATCACCTTCAAATAAGGTTTGGGTCAGACAATCTCAATTAATTAAACTTCAGCCCGATGCTATAAATAAAGATTCTTATTGCATTTGTTAAGTTAAGTCCTATTATCTGAGCAATTATACAACATGTATTATCTGGACCATTTCTATTATCCGTACGTCTGACTTGAGCGTCGTAGGGGTTTCCGCCGGATCAACCTGCGACTTAGTTACGCATTCTATGATCATAGGTATCTCAAGGTCATCAAACTCGTGTGCCAGTGATCAACTATGTTCTTCCAATTCATTCTACTTCAACTCTCTAATGTGATTTAACGTTAGCATCATGAAAAATCTGATTGAATCAGTTTAACTATAACCCAATAACTTATCTAAGTCAATGTCCGGTCGAGTTTTCTCAAAAGATTGCCTTCAATATATATATACCATAACAAGTGTGATATATAATCCCATCTCATATATTCACTAATAAAAATAAGAGAACATTAATTATGTAAATCATGTAGTATCAAAATATGTCAATGTACATATTTATTGTACATTAATTAATTAATAAATACTGATATTGATATACATGCTTGATTATTTTATACTTTTTGTTATTCAAAGAAAGGGTCAAAACTATTTTATTTTTTTGAACACTTTCTTTTATCAAATAATATTTCTAAGAAATAAAATCACAACAATTATTAATATGACAACACGCCCACACGTATAAAAAATAAAAATATAAATAAAGTGGGAGCATTTAATTAATTAATTATATAAAAAATATAATATTATTTTAATATGACGAGACGCCCCACACGTATTTTCTTCTAGTAAGTTCGATATCATCAAGGCAGTGGTTAAGTTAACTTAACCACAAAGAAAATAATAAAAAAACAGAAACTAATATTCCGGCGAAATCTACACCGTTAAATGCCGACCCACGTTATATGGACGCTCCAGATTGAATCTTGTGACCCAAGCCCTCAATCGCAATAAATTGCACACTCAAAATCTCATTAGATATTTTCATTTTATTCGAGATTCATTCGCTCAGCGCTGCACTTCACACAGAATCTGCTTGCATCTACTTTCTCTCTCTACTCTTTTTCTCTCTCTAGAATTATCATCTGAAATGGCGGATCACATCAAGGAAGAGGAGAAACACGGTGAATCGTTCATGGAAAAGATTGCGGAGAAAATCCACGGCCACGGTTCGTCGTCGTCCTCCTCCTCGTCGGACTCCGATGATGAGAAGACGGCGTCGTTGAAGTCGAAGGTGTATCGCCTCTTCGGCAGGGAGAAGCCCGTTCACAAAGTCCTCGGCGGTGGCCAACGTATGTTTTAAAATTAATTGGAAATATGAAACAAAATTCCTATATTTTATCTATATGAGTTACAGCTTTTCCTTTTCTGCTTTTGTTCTGGTTATATTATGGTGAGGAAATCGTTCGATTTGGAGATCTAATTTTTCGATTGTCAAGTTTTAGGGTTTCTAATTTTGCAATTTACGAATGTTTCACTTTCTTAATTTGTTGATTTTTTTTATTTTTTTGGGTGGGATTTGGGGTTTGGTAGAGGCGATGGGTTGTTTCTTGACCAATTTGGTATGTGATTTGTGCTTGAAAATTCTAAGTTGCCTTCTGTGATTATTGCGTTTTGTGATCAGATCGAGAATGTTATAATTTCTATTCCATAATTGGGGTTTTTCTTCGGGGGGTTTCTTCGGTTTTCTTTTTGTTTATTGCTTTTTTTAGTCGTACATGTGAATTTGTTACTTGGCTAATGTCATCGTTTACAGCCGAATAACTCGTTTATTTAACTGGTAAAGGTAGAGCAATCTATCTGTTTATTTGTATGCAAAATGATGATTGAGCATGTGTCATTTCGATAATTGGTTCAGTAAAGTAAACTCTAATGTTCCACTTTCGTCCCAAAGCTATTAACATGAAAACTTCTCGATTGATGTCGATAATTACCTATTACACATACCATTTTGATATAACTTTTGGGGAGTTTAGACTTCTATGATGATGCATTTTAATCTACGAGGATTGTTTTTGCAAGCAACATACATATATATATATATATATATATATATATATATATATATATATATATGTGTGTGTGTGTGTGTGTGCGTGTGCGTGTGCGTGTGCGTGTGCGTGTGCGTGTGCGTGTGCGTGTGCGTGTGCGTGTGCGTGTGCGTGTGCGTGTGCGTGTGCGTGTGCGTGTGCGTGTGCGCGTGCGTGTGCGTGTGCGTGTGCGTGTGCGTGTGCGTGTGCGTAATAACTTTGTGTATTCTGTACGTATAGCTGCCGATTTGCTCTTATGGAAAGACAAGAAAGTTTCTGGAGGAGTCCTAGGTGGGGTCACTGCTATCTGGGTTTTGTTCGATCTTCTAGAATACCATTTACTCGCCTTGGTCTGTCATGGTTTGATTCTTGGACTGGTTGGTTTGTTCTTGTATTCAAACGCTAGCACCTTCATTAAAAAGTGAGCTGAGCTGCATATTTATTCCGTGTGCCCGCAAGTTGATTCAATGATATATATATATATATATATATATATATATATATATGTATATATACTTATTTTTTTATTCATTGTATGTAGATCTCCACCAAAGATCCCGGTTGTATCTATCCCGGAAGAGCCCGTGTTGAACTTTGCATCTGCTCTCAGAATTGGAATCAATGAAGGCTTTGCAACTCTGAGGGACATTGCCTCTGGCAAGGATTTGAAAAAATTCCTCTCTGTATGTAATTTCTATATCGTCCGTTGATTATAGCTTATATGTTACGTGTGATTGCTTATTTTCGAGTTGGGGATTATTTAATCAGGTGATTGCTGGATTGTGGGTGTTGTCGTTTTTCGGCAGCTGCTGTGACTTCTTGACGCTGCTATATTCAAGTAAAAAAATCTTGTTCATTGAATGAGAATTATGTAGTATTAATTAATTAACACTAATGCTGTGTATCTTGTTGCATCTGTTTTCAACAGTTACGGTGCTGTTATTCACTGTGCCGCTGGTTTACGACAAGTATGAAGACCAGGTGGATTGTTTTGCTGAGAAGGCAATGGTTGAGATCAAGAAACAGTATGCTGTATTTAATACCAAGGTTTTGAGCAAGATTCCAAGAGGACCGTTGAAAGAAAAGAAGAGTGATTGAGATTTGAAGCATTATAATATTTTTAAAGAATTATTATGGTAGATATATTATGGTTTGTTGGGTGCTTTGATTGTTATGTGGGGTTTTGTCAATGAAGGGTTTATGGTGCATCGTACGGGTGTAGTACTAGTTCATTATTAAGTCTATATTGCCTTTTTTTTTATTTTTTTTTATTTAGGTATGCACGTTGTGTTTTACTTCATTGAACAGAATACATCGTTATATCTGCAGTGACTGTAATATTTTTCTTTGTATCTCTATTTGGGTTAAATTTCTACGTATTTTTTACTTTAAAACAACCGAAGTATTGATTAGATATGAATGCGCTGTTTATGCTCTTGATAAGTAGATGCATAAAGAAATAAATCTACACTAATTCTGTGTGCGGTTAAGGATGAAGTTAAGTTGGTATTAAGTGCTTACTTTTAAAAGTTGGAGGTGTTCGTTCATAGAAAATCAACCAAAATAGGAAAAACAAGTATAGTTGTATCGGGATGCTTTTAATAAAATAGCTTAAAGCAAGTAAAAACTAATTTTGTGAATTACTTAAAAACAATTTCTGAGAAACAAAATTGCGCAAAATATGTTTCTACAAGCTTCTGCAAACAGCACCTTGAACGAAAACCACATGTTTATTGAACTATCCCTCGAAAAATATTTGAGGTTTCAAGAGTTGATAAAAAAGGAAAAATTGAAAAATACAACAAAATCTACCTCCTAACATATCCTATCTTTTAACCTCCATCCTAGCATTTGCAGGATAGGGACGAAATGCTAATAAATACATAACTGCGTACAAAGACGAAAGAATATATTACACACACTTATCCAACAACAATGGAATCCTGTCTCCGGTTCAACGGGATATGGCTTGCATTAACCGATCTACGTTGAATCTTCTTACAAGAAGTAAGATAATTGTTGTTCCTTCTTTCTTGAACCACCTTCCCCGTACTGGTCATTCCACTGCTTCAACTCTGTCATTATCGAACCTTCTGACGCAAAGCTTGCAGCGACCTGCGCATATGATACAGATTTCGAAATGACAATCTCAAAATGCGTTAAAAAAAGAAAATCAAAAGGAAAAAAAACCGAATCCTTTGACCTGATTTTTTGCTTCCTTAAAATCTCCCATATTCAATGGCCTGATAGTGATTACCCTTTCCTTCTTATCTTCTATATCTGACTTGTTTACGCCCTCCTGCCCTTCCCCGGATCTATGATTCTTTTCCTGGTTTAAGGCACAGGTAAAACAGAGAGGTGACAAAAAAATATGGAAGCGCTTCATCACAAGTGAATCTCAGCTATGAGTTTTACACTAAGTTAATACTCACTTTATCTTTCAGCATCTCTTGCTGTATTAACTCTCGAACCGGTCGGTAAGCAGCAGTTACGCACAAGTTCTAATACACAAACACTCATGTTCATCAAAACATTAAACAATATGCAACTAAAAATCGCAATCAACACTAAAAAAAAAAAGCAGTTGTAAAGAAACCTTTAAATCACTCCCGCTGTAGCCTTCCGTCATGGTGGCAAGTTCCATAAAGTCCAACCCTTCATCAACTTTCTCTTTGGACAATAATGTCCTCATGATTTTCTCTCTGTTATCCACCGATGGCAAACCGACCATGACCCTGTAATAGTAATCGAGTTGTTATTGTTTTTACAAAAGTTTTAATATATATATATGTGTGTGTGTGTGTGTATATATATAGACCTTCTCTCAAAACGTCTGATTATTGCTTCATCAAGATCAAAAGGCCTATTAGTAGCAGCAAGAACTAATATTCGTTCACCAGGTTTTGTCAATAATCCATCCCAATGAGTCATGAACTCGTTCTTTATCTTCCTCATAGCCTCGTGCTCGCCTGCCTTATTCCTCTGCCCGAGCATGCTGTCAACTTCATCCACAAAGATTATAGTGGGCGACACTTTTGCTGCAAGAGTGAATAATGCTCGAACATTCTTTTCGTCTTCACCGAACCACTTTGAAGTAATAGTCGACATCGAGACATTGATAAAGCTTGCTCCAGCTTCATTAGCTATTGCTTTAGCCATCATAGTCTTCCCTGTACCCGGAGGGCCGAAGAGGAGTATACCTCTGCATGGCTTCAAAAGACCGCCTTCGAAAAGGTCTGGTCTTCGAAGAGGTAACATTACCAACTCTTGAAGGGATTCTTTGAGCTCGTCTAAGGCACCTATATCTGCAAACGTCACACCGATTTCGTTTGCCGGGATTACTTCTGGGCGTATGCGCTTTTCGAACTCATTGTCTGGTGGGTTTTCCTGAGGCAATCAAGAAAGACATGTCGCATGAAAATACCAACATGAAATTGCATGTGCATGGAACTTGATGACTAGAATAGCCTTACTGGAGTTTTAGGAGCCACTGGATCATCATTCTTGGTTCCCGTTCCGTTACTTCCTGTTCCGGCGGTTTCTGCTTTTGTTTCAGTGATTGTGGGACCCTATGATTAACGATCAGATAATCAATCACATGAATATGTTAAGGGGATGGGATAAATGTTGTTTCAGTTTTAATAATACCGTTTCGACTTCAAATGTGATTGGTACCATTTTCGAGTTTGATTTTAAAAGGGTCAAAATCACGTTTGAAGTCAAAACGATATTAGTAAAATTGAAAAACGACATTTAACATTTCAGTATCCCACACTCATTCATAGCCCACTAATATGTACAACCAACCTTAGGCATTTCAGCTTGCGCTTCAAGCTTTACGGTGTTCTTTACCTTCGATTTACCTTCCTGAAAAATACTCAACCCATGCGACAAACTAATCCAATGCCAAGATAATTAGTCAGTATATGTTCAATTAAAAATTTCCTTAATTGCATTACAATTGTTTTTTAAAGAAAAAAAAAGGATAATACAAACCTTGTTGATGAAATAACAAGTTTCCCATTTCTGTAATCAGGTTCCTTGGTATTCATCAGATGGTACGAAATAGCTGAGACCACAATTTCTTCTATATAGTTGCTAAGAACTATCGTGTCTGTCAAACAAATCGAACCCAGATCTTCACAATCGAGATCATTAGCAGCAAGTACCTCGTTTATGTGATTTTTATTGTCCTTATATTGGATCATCTTCATATCTTCCTCCAACTGATTCTTCCAGCTTACAAGGTGGCTTTCATCATCTGGTGGGCTTATTTCAATGTTATAAGGAAATACAGAAGAAATCTTTTCGTGCAATTCTCTGCCATCGTTTTCTGGTTGGACAATTCTCGAACCAAGGATTAATATCGATCCAGACAACCTTTTCAACATTTTCTGGAACAAGACGTAGCCTCTTTGTGATCTGCAGAGGAGTTTCTCTATATCCCTTAGGTAAAGGACAATAGGACAGGTTTTTGATACGTTGACAAGAACCTGTGCGGTAGATAATAAACCGTGGTTAAAAAAATCTTTACGAGCTTAGTTTCATAGCAGGGTAGATAAATCACAATCATATACCTTGTAAAGTGTCTGTATGAAAAGTTTCTCATCGAAACACCAGGTGCTGGTCCGCTGTGAAGCTGAAAAGTGGAGATCGTGATTAAGCAATCTAATTTAACTTTATTTCAAATTATCGATTTAATTTGCACCTTATCATAAACTCAAGCTTTCTAATTTTCTATCACTCAGTTTATACAAATCACATATGGTAGATAACGAAATTTTCCGAGAGAATTAAATCCATATCATTCTCCGTTAACCAAAACTAGTTTGGAGTTTTATAAAGACACAAATGAAAACCCGAAAAACGTGATGCATGCATGACTTTGGTGTCAAGATCTTTAGTTATATGTCACAAAAATACATCTTTATGATATTATTATTATTATTATTATAGCAGACAACTTAATCTAAATTGATTGATTCGAACCTGATATTGCTTGTGTAGTGGCACCAAGATTATTGATATCTGCCGAGGCAGATGCATTTCTGCGCAGGGTTCCTGGATTAGGGTTTTCTTGGACACTGCAGAACATAAGCATAATACCATAATTAGGACAAATACTAAGAATTGAAACCATTAAAAAATGCTTAGGAAAAGTTCCAGTACAAACTTTGATCTAAGATCAACTACACTGTTCCTTCTGCGTAGTGAACCTGCAACAGAAAGAAGTAAAACCATGAAATCGGTGTCTACAGAATACAACACTGCACACGAACCACGTATTTTTAGATAGTGAAATCTTGATAAATAAATAAATAAATACACTTGACGATGTCTCCAAGTCAAGACTTTATAAGAAAAATTATTCAAAATTTGTAAATACAGATAAATCGGTGTGGTACATGCTAAATAAATATCCTGAATAAATGGCCGCACAATATTACCAGACAAGAATTCCCATAAAACGGTATCCCATAGACCCATACAACTACTATCATGTTAAGATGTAAGGATTTTATCAGATAATGGAACTGTAATACACGAGGATACAAAATTATCCGTGTCGATCTATATAATCTGGGATTGAGATAGCAATCCAACATTGAGCATGAAAACAGAAAGAAAAAAAAAAAAAGGTAAAGGCTTACATTAAGTTTCTAACACCAAGAAAGGTGAAAAAACACAGTTTAATGTGAAATTGTTTAGTCAAACAACCAAGACAACTTTTACCTCTTTTCCCCTCCGTTGGTTGAAGTAAGGAAAATGATCCAAATAACTCAGACATTCGGCCCAATGTTGTTTCAGATATAGACCTTTTAAGAGACTACAAAAATAGAGATGTCAGTAACACAACAAAATATCACGACTTCGATACTCAATTTACTGTATATATGTGGTGGTAATAATGCAGTGTGTAAATTATAAAGTTACCCTTGAGGCGTGATCCATTGAAAAAAAATAAAAAAATATTGGGTTGTTTGTATTCACTACTTGCCTAGATTTTCTTGTAATTAGATCAAACCTCAATTCAGTTTCAGTGGACTTACAATTTCTTTATTAGGACTTCCGTACTTGTTCATGATCTGTGTAAGAGAAACCACTTAAGAGATAGAACGATAATATATATATACAAGCCCTTGCCCGAGAAAAAAATCAGCAGTGAAAAACTCACTCACCTTGAGAGAGAAATCAGTCACATCTAATAACAACAACTTCGCTTCGAAATAATGAGCTAGAGCCTTAGCAAGCATTTGTTGATACAGCTCTGCGTAACATGAAAAGTAAGTAAATACAATCCATAAGATGAAAGGAGGGAAAAAAAAAAAAAAAAAAAAAATTTATAACTTACCAGCAGGACCAGAAAGCAAAATCGTTCGACTTGCTGGAGAGAGGTTCCGCATATGCTTACTAAAATCAGCTTTTTTCAAATGAACAAAAGCTGCACTAGTTAATAAGACCCTCGTTTGTTCACTGCCGTTTTGAGGAAGAAAAAATAAGTTAGTATCTGTGCCTGTTGGCTTACATCAGTAAATAACAAAACAGAAACTAGTTCCTTTTTCCTTTCAGATAAAATCTCGTCCGAGAATTGTTGGAATTTTCTTTAAAAAAATTACAGAACGATAATAAATAAATCATATTATGTTCGAAACTACACAAACAAAATGTAGAAATACTATATGGATCTAAGGTTCATAAAAAGAAAAACGGCCGAAACCATGATAATGCATGAACAATATTCTCAAGACTCTAGAATATTCCGCAGAAGATAAGTAACCATACTTCAAATATCAATGAAAAGAAAATGCCCTCAATCTCATCAATCTAAAACTTTGACGGTTGGAAGTGTTACGATCTACCTACGTAGACTATTTCACTACGGCAAATCAATTCCGGACAAGGTAAAACGAAGAAACATAACGGAAAATAAAATCCTACGCCAAAAAACAAATATATAACACAGAAATTTTCCCCTTATATTTTTTTTTACCTTAGGTAGTAGGGAAATTGATCGAAGGTGACAGTGCTATCCCTTCCATTAGTAAGCAAACTGAGCATCTCCTGCTCAAGTACGTGCGGAGTAACGCCGGTGGATGACGTGGCGCCACCTGTCAATTTACCGACAGCCTGTGATCCCGACGCCAATCCAATCCCCACACCAACTCCTATCCCCATTCCCAATGCCGACATCAACATATGCTTCGATTCCATTTTTCCCTCAAAGATAGCAAAATCTAGGTCACAAAATAAAATTCAAGCGAACACGATTTTTTTTTTCCCACTAAGAAAAACAAGTAAAAAAAAATCTGATCTGAAAACGGCAAACGTTAGGGCAACTATACAATCGTCGATTTGTACAAATTTCGACTTTCGCTGTGAATGTATATATATTCAGGATATGCACGTATGGTGTTTGAATAAATTCCTCTGTTACATCAAAGAGAGAGAGATTGGAATGAAAAAAGGAACGGATTACATAAAAATTGAATTGAGAAACATAATACGAAGAGGCTTCGGATGCCACAAACGCGCGGCGGTTTTGGTATCGTCCTACACGGCGGAGGAGTGTGTTTCGCGGCGGCGGAATTGTGGAAATGAGGGGTGGTGGTGGTGGTTATTAGTTTTTGTTTTAGTTTCTAGAAATAGAGGGCGGTTGCTTCCCGCTTTATTAGGCATCGGTTTCTGAAAATTTAAAGAAGGGAATAAACCGGACGTCTTTCGCAAATTAGCTGCATGACCTGGCAGTTTCAACGGATAGGAGTCTCTTGGTCTATTTTATTACTGTAGGTGCTGATGCAGCAGATCCGCCCCCCGAAGATGTACCGTGCACCGAGATACATAGCCAATCAGGTTTCAGTAAACAAAAGTGTTGCAGACTATTTAGTAAACTGCCCCTAGGATTTTCGGTAATGGCATTTGTGCCCCTTATCTTGTAAGAGATTATGGATCCAGAGAGAAAATTCTATGTTGGTGAAAGTTTTTGGTTCAACTTTGTAGATAATTCAATATTTATAGTTCGAAAATCAGATTTTAATTTCTCTATTAATTTTTAAATACTCCAAAATTTTGGGAGTTCCAAAAATTCAAAAAATAATATTTATAGGGAAAATATAATTAAGATATCGAGAGAATTCGTATATGTTTTGTTATTTTATTTATAAAAATATCGATGACAAAATATACTACACCTAGTCATGCCCGTCTATTTTCAGTTTTTAACTTATATACAAATGAAAGGGAAAATTACAGTTTTTGTCCCTAAAGTTTGCACGGATTTTATATTTGGTCCTTCATGTTTTAATAATTTGATATTTTTGGTCATTTTCATGAATTTACCGTTAGTTCACTTGTTAGGAGAGTGATGGACAAATGCTTGATTCCATTAGTACTAACAGGAAATTAACAAAAATGACAAAAAATATTAAATTATTGAAATATGAGGGGCTAAATTATGTGTTGGGAAAATGGGGGACCAGATGTTTAATCGAGGTACATTTGAGGGGTGAAAAGTGTAATTTTTCCCAAACAGGAAACAATTGAAACATGCAACAGGAAATAACTAAAACAGGTGAAAAGAGCCATCACTAATTATTTCTGAAATTCTTTTTTCTAGTCCAAAATCTTCTACAAACCCTGCAATTCACAAGATTTTGGACAAGAAATTGAATTAAATAAAGCCTCCATTAATTTACAACTTGCACTAGAAAAAAAAATAAAAAAAATTTGAATAATAATAATATTACAACATAAAAGATTACAGTCTAATGTAGATTTCTCTTGCAGCATTTGATTCTCTCTTGCAAACAATCCTTTCCACCTCTGCTCTGGATTTATTATTATGTGAAGAGGAAACAATTTTTAAACTTTTCTTTTCATTTCATCAAATCCAAGAACACAAAGCCATTCCAAAGGCTGTGCAACAGCATCGAAGGCAAAAGATTCCTCGACCTCGAATAAGTCACCCCCATAACCACCCCCAGAAAAATAAGGGGCAGCATCCTCTGTACATTAAAATGCGCCAAAGCAAACGCAATCGAACTCACCAAAATCGAGCACCAAACGGGCATGTACTTTGTCAAAGAAGGCAAAAGAAACCCTCGGAACACAATCTCCTCCCATAATGGAGCACACACAACAAGCACAAGAGCGTATAAACCCATCGCAATTGGGTCCCGCGACATTATCGACTGCTCCACACTGGATAGGGTTACGGGGGTGGAGGGCAAAACGGGCAATAAGTCCAAATTGAACTGCGATAGGCGATTGACCAATGGGAACATTAGGCACCCGAGCAGAACATCGAACGGCCAATTCCCTCTTAGGCTGAATTTGAACCAATCGGGTGGAAGGGGGCGGAATCGAGACAGGCATCTTACGAGGATTAGAATGCCAGCTAGGCCTTCGGTTACGTCTGTTAGAAGGCTGAACAAAGCCTGCCCTCTAAACGTCAGTGATTCCTTGCTGAAGCCGACAACGTGGGCCCCGAATGGAATCATCCATGATCCCACAAACCAGAATGAAATAATCCAAAGGAGTGTTACCTATGTGACCATAGATTTTAACAAATTTGTTACTTTGTGCATAATTACTTTTTCACAAAATTGCAGGTCGTAAAAGAAAGTAAGAAACTTGCCTGTAGAATTGTCTCTGCAGTCCATGGTACAGTCCAAGGTTTGCCGATTACTCTAAACAATGCATCTACAACCTGAAAAAGCAAATGCCCCGTCATTACGGTTTTTGATATTTTATCGTACATTTATACCACTTCAACTCTTACTATGTATGGAAGTCCTTGCAATCATTAATCTATCTTGCATCAGAAATGTAAATTTAGTGTCGGGAGTTTTTGGAATTCTATTCACATAATGTGTTTTTATTCAAGTGAGGTTATTATCTAGGAGCATCCATGTACTCGTATATAAATGAAAAATACATACAAGGGACAGTGTAAGTGTGTATTAAATATTAAATATCAAATATCAAAGTGAAAAATAGAATTTCACGTTTCCGATATTGGACCTTGCACTAAGTGATGCAGAATTTTATTATATTAGTCTGATTCAACAGATTAAGTAGGGAGAATGCATTAAGAACGCTTCACGTAATTACTTATACACAAATACTATCAATCCACTAAGCGATCCAGCATCACTATATAACCTAGCAGACTGCTTCATGGGTTTTCATTTAAGGATTTCTTACGAACAAAGATTATTTATCACTTGGCAATAATCGATCCTCAACAACAGAAACCAGACAGCTACGTTAAAGAACCACAAAACAAAGGGAAAGATATTCTCACCTCTCTAGGATTTGCAGCCCAATTTCTTCTTTCAATATTCGGTTTATTAATTTCTGCCTTCTCTGACTCGTGGAGAAGTTCGTCAGCAGGTTCTGGATTTGGAGTGTCGGACGAAAATTCTTCATGCCGAAAGCACGAGATTTTCCACTTCTAAAACAAAGATAAATAAACTCAACATACATATAAGTACGCAGTTGTATTCTAAGCAGCATATACACCAAATTTCATATTTCAGATTCTTCAACGATCTCGCTTTAAAGCACACGAAGGCATCTGTAAATACTGTAAGGCCTCGTTTGGTTGCCAAGATAAGATTAGCCAAGATAAAATTAAATAATCTAATGAAACCCAATTGCATTATTGGACTTAGGAAGATCCAATAAAATAACATGCCTTTTAGGCAAGATAAAGCATGATAACATAATATTTGCAGGTCGACCCGGCAAGTTATTGCGGATACCAACATCAAACAAAGTCCCATTATTTAGTTAATCATGGCAAATCTCCCCAACCAAATGAGGCCTAAAAAGATAATCTTGAGATATAGATAAAGTAAAATCACAACAAAAAAAAAAAAAAACCCATTTCATATCCTGACTAATTAAGCTGATATGGCTACAACAATCAATCAAATTACCCAAAATTACGCAACCCAAAATGTACCCATACATGTATCCAGATTCGGCAAATTAAAAATACCTTGGTCGAGAGCCTGTGATGAGTATCGGAAACGCGGAAGGTCAACGCAGGAGCGAATGGCGATTTGGAGGTGAATTTCGAAGCCCTAAATCTGGGACTCGATGCTGAGAGGAGGAGAGAAGGGCGCTGAGGTAGAGAGTGAATGCAATTTGAGCTCAGCATCAGATTAACATGAGAATTGTGAGTTGAAACCCTAAATTTAGGGATGCCGCATGAAATTGGAATCATGGGTTCTGTGCATTTTGCAATCGGCAGAGCACAAAAAACCCTAGGTATTTTCCTTTTTTTTTTCCCCCAAATTTTGTGCAGGAGAATCTATTGGATTCTTTCTTTTCTATGGTTGGGAAAGAGGGTAAAGTATTTACTAATTATTGTGCAAGTTGTACTTGTCTTCTTATATTATGATTATAATGAAATACTTGTATTAATTTCATTAAAATATGTTCCATTTTTTCATATTTAATTAAACACATGTTCAATTGAATAGGTGTGCTGTTTATTTAAAGTGACACATTTTGACCCCATGATTGTCTAAACAAACTTTTTATATTTCAATTGTGACTTTTCACCAACTATTTTTTTTTTTGATAATGAAACGTTTTAAGTAATTTATTAAGTTCTCATTTATCTAGAAATAATTTTGAAAAAATTAAATTTAGTTGGCTCTATTTACGAGTTAAACATAAATAGGTCTAGTTATATGGAATTATGAGTAACGAAACCTTAAAGTTTCATGAATAATTCGTTCTGAATTTCCGAATCTACCCCTAGGAGTCTTACCTCATAGATACTCGTAATTTACTCATAATTTGTTTGGTTAATAAAAGAGTAATTTAGTGGATGCATTCATTATGAGATCATTATTACAAGAAATCGCACAAAAAAACATCACAACAACAACACTCGAAATCACACCCTCACTTCATAAGATGATCAATAAATGTCTCAAGATTATTGTAAGAAGAACCCTCTTCACCCACACTCTTTGCACACACTTCCTTCATCTTCACTGCATTTTTCTTCAATCTATCGTCACAAAACATTTTGTCGATTTTGCCCTTGATTTCATCTGCCGATCGTATCCCGTTTTCTCCGGGTTCGATTCTCAATCCAATCTCCCACTTGTCACAGATGTAACTCTGGTTATGATACTGGTCCGAGAAATAAGGCCAGCATAAAAACGGCACCCCATTGCCCACACCTTCCACAGTCGAATTCCATCCACAATGCGACACGAAACACGCAGTGGAGGTGTGAGAGAGAACCCTCTCCTGTGGGGCCCACTCCACGATCTTCCCGACCTCCCCCACCCGATCCAGGAACCCATCCGGGTACACGGCCCGCGACCCGTTCGCGAGGTCCGACCTGACGACCCACAGAAAAGCCCGGCCCGAATTCTCCAGCCCGAACGCCAGCTCGTCCAGCTGCTGCTGGGAGAAAACCGCCAAACTGCCGAAGGAAACATAAACCACCGATTCGGGCGGTTTATTGTCCAGCCAGGCTAAACAGGATTCGTCCTCGGGGTGGAAACTGCAGGAATTTGAAGGGGATTTAGGGTTTTGCGATTCGAGTAACGGCCCGATCGAGAGTAAATTCGGGCTCAAATCGCAGGCGGAAGGTTCGATTTCGTAGCAAGTGTTGCTGAGCAACCACTTGGCCTGATTCACTGTTTCTGGAATTCTTACCGAACAGTCGAAGAAGATCTTTTGTGTTTGTAGGTCGCCGGGTGCGCTCCATGCGAGTTCATTTTTTGTCCAGGCGGGTACATTTTCCGACAGGCTAACTATATCACCTTTCGTTACAGTTCCTTCAATTTCAAGAACGAAGATTGAAAAAAAAAAGTATAAATAACTCCTAAAACATGTCGAAATTATCCAAAACATCACCACAAATTACAAGCATTACCATTCGTGTCAAGATAACCTTGCTCGAGTAGCTCCGGAGTGTGGAGCACAAGGGCGATGGCAGCAGCCGAAGCGGGCGAAAAAGCAACCGGCACCGCTCCCATTTTCTCAGCAGTTTCGAAAATCCACGCCATGGTGACATCAGCAATCAAACAGCTAATTCTCTGGTCGGGATTCGAACCATTAATTTCCTCGATCAAATCCGCCACAAATCCAGGCATACTATGCCTGAGAGTTTCCAACAGCTTGATAGTGTCGTTCGGATCGTCCTCCGGGCTCCGTCCATCCGGGATCGAGACCAGGATTATATTATCCTCCTCATTATTATTATCAACCGACGTGTTTTTATCAGCAGCAACAATTTTTTCGTGTATACTCTGGATGTTCACAAAGGTAACCTTAATCCCACGTTTGGCTATCTGTCGGCATAGTTTCATGAGTGGCTTAACGTGCCCTTGTGCAGGAAACGGCACCGCCAATACATGCGGCGATTTCATGACCTCGATTGATTGCTTTTGCTTTTTTTTTTTCTTTCAAATATATGTATATATAAAAGCCTTTGAATATAATGGTGATTTATATAACTTCTTCAGTTCTATTGTTTTAATATATATATATATATATATATATATATATATACACACTACATACATGGATGAAAATGAAAAAAGACATGATTAAGCTGTGTGAAAGAGACATTTCGCAGAAAATTTGGACCACAAAATGTACATGAATTAATACTGTGAAAGATTTTAGGTACAGGAAAAGGAATCTTTAGGTACATTTTCATTAGGGATGGGGACTGGAATTTAATTGTATTTCCTATTTCGGCAAATTCCTATCCGGAATTTCGATTTCCAATTTTGGAACACTCTGAATTCCAAAATTCTGATTTTTGATACCCCTGATTTTATTTGGATTATGTGCGAGGTTTCGATTTCCGATCCAATTCTAATTTCAAAAAATAATGATTAAAATTCTGATTTTTTCCCCTCAAAATATTACACTAAGAAAATCAAAATTATTATGTATTTTACATTTTAGTTTAGTAAAAATCGAAAAAATCGAATTCTGCCAATTTCGATTCGTTTTTTTTTTAACAAGTTTTTCATTATAATTTCTGATTTCACTGATTTTATTTTTATAACAAAATTGAAATTATTTTGTCACTTGCTAATAAAATGATTTTCTTTCAAAAAGTGCCGATTCCGACTCACCCCACCAATTTCCACCAAATTAGGACCAGTCGGGAATATGCATGCATCGGAACGAAACAATGAGATAATTAAGGTTGCGTTCCGCAAGGGATGACCTAACAGTTGAAGCAATGGAGTTTGTCATACATGATTAACCTAATGTGTTTTATATCTCTCGTATAATTTACAAGCTATTATACGAGATTATAGATATACCCAATGAATCTATAGATTAGCTACGAGTTCCTTCGTTACAAAAAAAAAAAGAAAAAAATAAGATTGCGTTTTTCGTTTGTTTTTCCAAGTTAAGCAAATATTCCTTGAGAAGCAATCACAGCCACTACATATGTATGATATTTATTAGTGATTCTTCATTTTTTTTTCTTTTTTCTTTTTTCTTTTTTCCCGACGGGTAATAAAGTATTTTCATCAAAATATATAAGATATTTTTTTTTCAAAATAAAATAAAATAATCATTTCTTCCACTTGGCATAGAATTGAGTCATTGACTAATGAGACATAGAACTGCACTGGTTAAAAGCTTATTAGTTATTATTAGGGGTGTACGTCGAACGGATCGAATAGGAATAAACCCTTTCTGAAAAATTCCGTATTTTCGGAAGTGAAAAAACTAATTCCACTTTCATTCCAAAAAAACCGGGAAATTTCAGATTGTAATCAGCGGAATTCGGAAATTTCCGATTTTTTGCCACCTAAAATATAAATGACATAATAATATTGGTATTTTAAGTGTAATATTCGGAAAATCGAAATAATTTTCCTAATTATTTTCAGAATTTAAATCGGATAGGGAATCATAATCTCATACATAATCCAATTTCCATCCAAATAATTTCAGAAAAATCGGAAGTCTGAATTTCGGAATTCGTATTGTTCCAAAAAAAAAAAAAAAATTGGATCGGAATCGGCAGAAATCAAAAATTTCGTTCCAATTTTCACCCCTAATTATTACGCATTTCAGATAACAGCACCAAGTTTTAAAGATTTTTATAAATGGTTTTGGTGGGATGTCCTTTTAACTTGTACCATTATTCATTCTTTCCTCTTATCCTTATTTTTCCCGAAGAATAATAGCATTACATAGGCTTCCCCGTTGACTTTAGCACAAAGTCAACCAAATATCAAGGTTTTGATAGCTACTCATCAAAGTGGACACTACGTGCTAACCCTAATCAAATTATAGTAATCACCACTCATTTTTCTTCCCTTCAAATACACAGAGAGAGAGAGAGAGAGAGAGAGAGAGAGAGAGAGAGAGAGAGAGAGAGAGAGAGAGAGAGAGAGAGAGAGAGAGAGAGAGAGAGAGAGAGAGAGAGAGAGAGAGAGAGAAGATGAATCAAAGTGAAGGCAATAACAGCGCACTGGAGGAACCAAACCGGAGAGAAACAGATAAATTAGACGAAAGCAACAAGAAACAAGAGCAGAGAATAAGAAACCTGGAAACAAAAGCCATCCAAAATGTCAACTTATACTTCATCTTCCAAGCAGTCGTCCTCCTCGCCTCCACCACCGCCGCCGCCTCATCCTCCACCACCGCCGCCGCCACCTGCCGCCGCTGGTGGATTCCGTTCACACTCTCTCTCCTCGCAGCCATCACAAACTTCCTCAGCCTCTCCACTACCGTGTCAGCAGTCCTGAAATCGAGGGAAGAGCTCGATCAGAACTTGTCGGACCTAGCTTCCATGAAATCGAATCAAACAAGGCGGGATCCAGTTTCGCCGGGGGATATTCCTCAGAATATTCCAGGTGGAGATCATCAGATTATTGTTCGACCAAAAGCGGATAATTTTATCAACAAGTGGAAACGCCGTTCGGTCGTTTACTTTCTAGTCGGCTTGTTCGTCGGTTTCAGTGCTGTTGTAATGTACGGTTGCTATAACATACTCTGTTAATTAATTTTAATTTTTTTTTTTTTGCTATTTAATTATTTGTACACGAAAAAAGCTCGAAAACTTCGAATAAAAAGTATCGATTGTATTACTTTTCATATAATTAATTAGTAATAAGCATCAAAAGACGTGTACCCGTTATCGAGATTACATTATAAATCTAATTTCGCTGCCCATTCTGTGACCAAATCCGTATTGCCTTTCCTCATCATCGCAACAAACTCGTCGTAATTAATCTTCCCATCCTGCAATAATTTTATTCAGAAAAAAATCGATCCGAAAGAAATGGTAATTTATAGTCAATTTCAAATTTATAAAATTTAAAAAAAAAAAAAAAGGAAACGAGGATGTACGTACATGGTCGATATCTACTTCGGCAAGAATTTCTTTTATAATTTTAGCATCACCAATATTATATTCTTTCAACGCGTGCTCCAATTCTTCCGTGGTAATGTACCTAAATAAATCACATGCAAACATCATAAAATCGGACAATAATATCAAAATAATTTGCAAAAAAAAAAAAAGACGAAGTTATACCCGCTACTATCTTTGTCGAAATATTCAAATGCTTTATAAAGACGGTCTTCTCTCTCCATTCGGTTCATATGCATTGTAGCTGTTATAAATTCGATATAATCGATAGTTCCATTTCCATCCACATCAGCCTACAAGAGCAATAATTAATAAATAAAAAAATTATTTGAGAAAAATATTTTATTAATTCCGGAAAGAATTAAAAATTAGAGAATATACCGCTTCCATTAATTGCCTAACTTCTGATTCAGAAATTTTCGTGTTCAGCTTCGACACACCGGTTTTTAATTCTTCGAAAGTAATCATTCCATTGTTATCGGCATCCATGGATTTAAACATCTCCTTCAGTCCCACGATTTCTTCTTCGGAAAGATTTTCTGCAATCACCTACCGAAAAAAAAATATAATTAGAATTTATTCAAAAGCATGAAAAAAAGAAAACGGAAATTAATACGATTAATACGTTAAAAACCTTAAGAGCAACTTTCTTGAGTTTGTTCATTGCATGAAATTGCTTCATTCTCGTCAAGACGGCAATATCTAGAGGCTCGTCGGATGCATCTCCGTCTTCTCTCATCCATGGATGATCTGTTTCATTGAAAGTTTGGATTGTATAAATAATTAAATATTGATTATTGTATTAATGAGATAGTTTTATTTTAATTTTGTTGGAAATATTCAGTTTTGACTCAATTTTGATTGAATATTTAATTGGATTAAATTATTCTTTTCCCAAAATCGAAATCATTTGTTGGTAGATGAGAAGTTAATAAATCACTTAACATATTAAATTATGGAAAAGAATAAGTGAAAAAACACCATTAAAAGTATGGAGGTGTTTACACAACCACTGGATGGAAAAGGTGTCAATTCGAATCGAAAAGATACCTAGTCGAATGCGAAAATAATAAATCACTAAATATCTAATTATGGAAAATAATAGGTGAAAAACAACCATCAAAATTTAAGAGTAGGGAGGTGTTTAGACACTTATTCGATCGAAAAGGTGTCAATTCAAATAATATAAAAGATACCAATGCGACCAATTCATAGTTCAAAACACATTTGAGTGTTTGTAGATTTCAAGATTTGTAGTGCTACACAATCTTGAAAGAAAGTTTACTTTATCTTATATACAAGACAAATGCTATAAAAAAAACGTGAGCACCAGTGCGGGGCAATATCGTCTTTTAAGGACAAAGAGTCAAACTCTAGCATCGACCATTTTGTTATTATGCACCGGCAACAACATTATTTTGTGTTATTTTCATCTTAAACAAAAACATTATTTGTGACGTTCCTTATTGTGCGGAATTAAGTTAAGTTTCTTACATGTGGTGTAATGAAGAGATGTAAGAAACTTACTCAAGACTTGAGCTGCAGTAAGCCGTTTTTTGGGGTCGGCTTGTAGCATATTCTTTACAAGATCTTTTGCACTACTCGATATCGTGGGCCATGGATCAGACTCGAAATCGAGGTGACCTCTCAATACAGCACCAAATATTCGCCTCCCATTCTCTAAAATAAAACAATATGAAAAGAAAAGAAAAAAATTTAACCAGTGTATCAAAATCGAAGACACATACATTCATTCAGACATGTAATTCTTGACCTTAAATATATGATGAAGTAATAAACTAAGGAAGACTAACTGACCTCCCCAGAAAGGTGGAACCCCACTGAGTAAAACGTATAGCATTACTCCGGCACTCCAAATATCAACCTCTGCTCCGTAATTTCGACGCAAAACTTCGGGTGCTACATAGTATGCACTTCCGACAAGATCCTTAAACGTGTCTCCTGCAATAATAAATCAGTTATGACTATGAGTGAAAAAATCAGTAGCATTTTGTCAAAAGAATTAGATACTTTAAAGATCAAGAAACAATTAATTCTTTAAATCATTTTATCACAAACAAGAAAACGAACAAACTATTACTTTCGTGTATCACGGTTTCATTTAATTTCTTCGTTCCTTATGTAGCTACATTTACGAATTCAAGAACACGACAAAAATGCTCGTTTGGGTCGAATACCCAATTTATACGATGAACTAGCATCTTAACAAGAAAAGGTACTAAATATTAAGTAGTGTATGTAATTGATCTCCACATATTCTTGAATTAATTCTAAATTCAACCCATGAAATTCCATTTCAGACCAATGTAATCCAACAAGAAAAAAAAAAAAAAGAGGGACTAATTTGAAAACATAAAAATTCTTACCGGGTTTGAAAAATACAGACAAACCAAAATCAATAGCCTTGACCGGCGAATCCTCGTCGGAATCGAAGAACAAGAAATTCTCAGGCTTCAAATCCCGGTGCATTACGCCCATGGAGTGGCAGGCGTGCACCACCGTGACAATCTGCCGGCACAGGCCCGCGGCGCCGCGCTCGGAGTAGTGCCCCTTGGAGACAATCCGTTCGAAGAGCTCGCCGCCGGCGCACAAATCCATCACCAGATGCACGTGGCGTCGGTCCTCGAACACCTCCCTCAGCTCCACTATGTTCCGGTGGCCCGTGAGGTGGTGCATGATCTGCACCTCGCGGCGGACGGCCGCCGCGTCGTCGGGGGCGGCGAGTTTTCGGACGGCGATCGACTTGCAGGCGAATGCGCGACGGGTTTCGCGGTGGGTGACGAGGTGGGTGACGCCGAACTGGCCGCGGCCGAGTTCTCGGCCGAAATTGTAGGCGGAGTGGACGTTGGAGATTGGGCGGCCGAGGATGGCGCCGGTGGGGAGGGAGCCGGGTGGATGTGGTGGCGATTCGGGAGGGGTGGGGAGGGAGGTCTCGGAGTCTGCGCCGCCGTTGGGTGGTGAGGTGGCGGTCGGAGCGTGGGGCGGCGCGTCGATGCTGGGGGCGTTGCCCATTTCAAGACTGATTAGTCAAAACTGATGTTGAAATCGCAATGCGGTTTCTGGTCCGAACGCACGGTGAGCAAATTGACATGATTTAAAGGGTAAATTGCATTTTGCACCCTCAAATTATACGTAATCGACACAATGCACCCTCCAATTTTGAAAATAGCATAATGCACCCTTGAATTATAAAAAATATCCCTTAACAGTGAACGATGAAAATAATGCAAGATTACCATCTTATTGTTCATTTTATAGAATTTAATTACAACTAATTGTTTAATTTATTATCATCAATATTTAAAAATAAAAATAATGATTAGATGGGAATGTGTAAAAGTGTATTTTATGTAACAAACAATAATTAGGTGGGAATATATAAAATATATTTTATGTAACAATAATAATAATTAGGTGGGAATATGTGTAAAAGTACAATCCGACAAGGCACAAAGATTGCAGATTTTAGATATATATTCATTTTATAAAGTATCATATGATGTAATTTTGTTGCACCTTTCCGCCATGAACGTGACCCATCGACTTTTTCTGAGAGAAGGCACCAAAATAAAATAAAACAAAATAAAATGAAACAAAACAAATCAAAATGAATAAAATAAAATGCGTCTGCCGGGAGTCGAACCCGGGTCTATTGCTTGGAAGGCAATTATCCTAACCGTTGGACTACAAACGCTTCTTGAAAATGTTTTCTATAAAACATTTTATTGCAATTTCATTGAATTAAAAAAACTTGTTCGAGTATAACTCCAATAAATTAGGTGATTAGTAAGAGAAAGAGGAGGGTGTCAAGTGCGTGGAAAATGAGATATATAGATACATATATATACCTACATACATGCATAGATACATAATAGTTATGGTACAGGAACAAGATTCATGCATACATGTTTTTAAAGAAGTTGTCCACTAAATAAATACTAATGCATCTTCAGAATCATCATCATAGAATTTCAATGATTTCGACTACTTCGAGGCATCCAATTCCCATCAGATGACATCTCGCGAATTATAATACGTGTGTTGTTTCATAATTCCAGTTAAGCCCCTTTAACACGCGTATTAGACGTGTATATATAATACATTCGGATATATACTTTTTTTTTTTTTGTAATAGATGAATGGGTGTTTTACGGAATGTCTCACGTTTGCCACTCGTTTATTCCATCAAACTGCATTATTAAGACAAAGCAAAATGTTTTGGTTCCGAGTCAAATAACAATTGCTCAAATGCGCCAAGTGTACTGTCAAGGTGAATTAAACAGAAATCGAAAGCATGCAGTTAGAATATGTTCTGATTTATAAAGTGTACTGATTTACGATTAGTCTCATGCAAGAACAGAACAATTAATATGGGATTACGAATAGTTGCTATAAGTGAATATATTTTATATATATAGACTAATTATAAACATTACATTAAAAGACTATCGAATAATATGTTCAAATTTGATGTTGCAATAAGAGGCAGAACAGAACAGAACATATTCCAATTTCCTATGATTGTAACTTGTTGATCTGCATGAATGGCATACTAATATTCGCATACGAAGAAGAATATTACAAAACAAAAAAAAAACGAAAGTTTCACCCCCGTTTTTTTTCTCGTTCTCATCTAATACATACGCGATGATAATATAAGACGATATATATATATATAGAATAAAATTTGGGATAATGAAGGCTGCATTGTGCAGCAATATATATATTTTCAAGATTCTAATTCTCCATCCATGCAACATTATTGAGGCTAAGCATCTTTTATCCACCATTTTAGCTTCATATTTCCTTCAATTATTGCTCTATTTATTCTTTTTTTTTTTTTTCCTTTTCCTAGTTGCATCAACCACTAATAGCTAAAATCCCTTCATTTAAATATATAACGTTCACCTTCTCCGATTTCTTCCATCTCAATATTCACACGCTCGGGTTTTTTTTAACGACGATATAATTAACTTCATTGGAGAATGAATGGCAAAAAGGGTAGTGTCGAAATCAACATCCCTCCCATTGCCAAAGCCAAACAATCGGAAACTACTAAAAAATGCGAAGAAAAATTTGGCACCTCTTTTATAAGTAGCATTCTTAATGTGTGGGAATTTTGCAAAGAAGACACTAATCGAGTAATATTCTCTCTCAAAGTTGGGCTCGCGGTTCTTCTCGTTTCTCTATTGATACTATGCCAATCGCCTTATAGAGTTTTCGGCACTAACATTATCTGGTCAATCCTCACCGTTGCCATCATGTTTGAATATACCGTCGGTACGTACAATTCTTTTACACTAATTAATACACATGCTGAATTGTTACATGTCGTTTCAATTTTATCGGTATGCTTCTGACTTCAAATGCGATTTTGACCATTTTTCAGTCCAAATTTGGCAAACCTTCAAAGCACAAACTTTGTAGTTTGAGTTGATTTTCCAATCCAACTGGTGATTGGATATCGGGTGAGAGAGTTGCGCATGACTGTTTGAATCTCGAAAAACTCAAAACACGACCTTTAATGCCGATGTGATCATTCACTAGGCATAACTCTCTCACTTGACATTCAATCTAGCTGATATAAGTTGGATTACAAAGCTAACTCAAGTGAATAGAAATCCGTTGCTTTGAATTTCGTCAAATGGTCAAAATTACATTTAAAGTCAAAATAGTACCAGTAAAATTGAAACGACATTTAGGAGCAGAAAAACAACCTCATTATCTTGTAATAAACCGGTGTTGTCTATTTGAAGGGGCCACATTTAACCGAGGATTCAACAGAGCACTCGGCAGCCTTCTAGCCGGAATAATTGCTATCTCAATTGCCGAATTAGCCCTCAAAACGGGGCGAATTGCGGAGCCTATCATAATCGGTTTCAGCATCTTTATCGTAGGGGCAATAACGTCATTTATGAAGCTATGGCCATCTTTGGTTCCGTACGAGTACGGATTCCGAGTCATACTTTTCACATACTGTTTGATCATCGTCTCTGGATATCGTATGGGAAACCCGATTCGAACAGCCATGGATCGGTTGTACTCTATCGCCATTGGAGCAATTGTAGCTGTGGTAGTGAATGTACTAATTTGCCCTATATGGGCTGGTGAGCAGTTGCACAAGGAACTTGTTAACAACTTTTCTTCTGTAGCTGATGCACTTGAAGGTAAATCGAAAATCGAAAAGTCGAAAAATCGAAAAATCGAAAAACTGAAAACAACTTGTTCAAATTCATTTTAAGACGAGAATAAGGAGCACTAAATTTCATGTAATGATTGATTTTTTTTTTGTTTCAAGAATGTGTGGGGAAGTACTTAGTAGATGATGGATCGGAACATTCCGAGTTCACAAAGACTGTTATGGACGACTTTCCCGAAGAACCCGCTTACCGAAAATGCCGGTCGACCCTAAATTCTTCGGCTAAACTTGAATCATTGGTAATGATTGATTGATTTGTCTTTGATGAAGTTGTTTCAATAACAAAAATATTTTTTCGTTTGATTTGTTTCGTCGTTCTTTTTTTTTTCCTTTTCCATCAGGCGAATTCGGCTAAATGGGAGCCGCCACATGGCAGATTTCGGCACTTCTTTTATCCATGGACAGAATATGTCAAAGTAGGTGCTGTCCTAAGATATTGTACATATGAGGTTATGGCACTTCATGGTGTATTACACTCAGAAATTCAGGTATCTGAAATCACTTGTGGTTTAATTTCTGTAATAAAATCCGGAAACGGTGTCTGAAAATTGCATCGAGAAGCGAAAAACGACTAAAACGTAAAGCACGTAGAGCCATTCGATATAACACCGGGCTGCTGAATTAGCTGATGTTTTGTTATTTCTCTTGTTTGTTAAATTCCCACAGGCACCATACAACCTCCGAATCGCGTTCCGCAACGAGATCCGCGAAGTATCGACGGACGCTGCAGAGGCAATCCGTCGTCTAGGAAAAGACATACGCAACATGCAAAGAACCCTCAAAATCTCTGTCCTCAAAAAGGTTCACACCTCAACTGAAAAACTCCAACGGGCAATGGACATGTACTCCTACCTACTCACCTCGTCCGCCAATCACGAGCCGCCACATAAGCAACCACTCTCCCACGCACTGTCTTCCGACCTCGATAAGAAACTTCCAGAACAAAACCACGACCCTCCGTTATTGTTACAAGAAGAATATTCCTACCACGAGACAATGAGGAAGCAGTCGAAGAGGCTGTATTCGTGGCCTTCGAGAGAAGTGGACGCTTTTGAAGAAGGGGGTTTAGGGTTTAGTTCTACAGATTGTATGCCTAGGATGAAGACATTGGAGACTACCGCTACGCTATCGGTTGCGACTTTTACTTCGTTGCTCGTTGAGTTTGTGGCTCGGCTCGATCACTTGGTTGAAGCTGTTGATGAACTCTCAAAGATGGCTAAATTTAAACAGGAAGATGTCTAGAAATCTAGATTTAGGAAAATTATATATATATATATATATATATATATATATAGATATAGATATATATATATATATATTAATATTTTTATAAATATTGATATTGATATATATATGGACATATAGATTCTGATATAGATATATGGAAATAGATAGTTATCATTTTCCTATTCTTGACTTGCTAAAATTCCAACATTATCTGAAGAATCTATCTTAAAACAAAGGATAACAAGACACTGAGCAAAATGAATTCAAGAAAGTATAGAACAAATAACACAAGCTAAAATCAAGAATATTAGTTAAAAAAAATAGTGGCAGCTTCATCAAAATGTTTGCACATCAAACATAATTTTATTTTTACAACAGAATATCTGTTCCGACCCAACACGGGCCCGCAAAAACCAACACGAAGATCGAAAAACAACACGTGACTATTTACAAGACAAAAGAACGGCATTAAGCCACACTCAAGCAAGCAGTTTCAATCTCCATTTATTGCCACACATTCCCTAAGTTGCAAACTATGCCAAATAAATAACAGTCGAGATTTTTCACGTTCAAAAACCACTACACAAACAAGAGAATGGAACAACACAACATGCGTCTAATAAACAGGGCTTCGGAAATTGAATTTAACAAGAAGGAAAAAAAAAAGGGGCTAAAAGGATAGCCTTACATCCAGGTCTGATGTGTCACGAAAGACTTCTCCGGCTCGGAGGGACCCGCCATATCTCCGCTAGGAAAGTTGAAACCAGGACCACCAGCAAGCAATGCCATCAAATTCCCTCCGTGCACACGTCCTTCCGGAACCTTCCCAGATGATCGGTTGCTTCCCGAAGGCATATGAGTTGGCTGGTAACCGAAATAATTTGAACAGTCAGCGGAATTCATAACAACACTCCCGTCTTCAACTGTAAAGACTGGTTTCTTAGCTTTAAAGTCCTGAACGACAATTCCGACAGTTCCACCACCATGAACTCTATTGTCCTGAACCAAAGCACCATGAGATACACAAAGCCCAGTTTTACCCCTAGCAAACGTGTTGCAAGGATTATCACCAAGGCCAAATTCAGAACCAGGGCTACCCCAGGAGCATCTCTTGCCATCGCCATGGGCTTTGCAGAAATCAGTGCTTCCCTGCGCACTCTTCCCACAACCCTCGTATTTACATCTCTTGCCGCCACCATGGCGAACGCAAAAGTCGGTTCTACCCCTAGCACTCCTCGTACACTCGCTAATAGCACACCTTTTTCCACCCCCATGCGCCACACAAAAGAGGGTCCCACCATGCACGCTCTTAGGGCAAAGTCCACCCCCTTGGAACGAACATCTTTTCCCACCACCATGGCCTTTGCATAACGAAGTGCTACCTTCTGCACCTTTCTTGCACCCAGGGTGTGTGCAGCGTTTGCCGCCACCGTGAGCCTTGCAGAACATTGTGCTTCCCTGAGCCCCCTTGTGGCACTCGGGGTACTGACACCTTCGACCGCCTCCATGAGAGATGCAAAGACCAGAAAGACCTTCCGCACTCTTCGAGCAGTTTTGTACCTGGCATCTCTTTCCACCGCCATGACGGATACACAGCCCAGATTTCCCTCTGGCAGCACGAGTGCAAGTCTCGTAGCTGCAGCGGCGGCCTCCACCATGGGCGATACAGAAATCCGTACGCCCTTCCGCACTCTTTGTGCATCCTAGAAATTCACACCTTCTGCCGCCACCATGAGCCTTGCAAAAGGCGGTTCGGCCCTCGGCTCCTTTGTGGCAGCCAGGGCGCTGGCACCTCCGACCGCCCCCATGAGCAATACAGAGACCAGATGCCCCTCTTGCTCCCTTCGAACATCCCTGAAACTGACAATGTTTAGTACTATTGCTACAACTACTACGCTGCTGTTGTGATTGAGTTATCCCGGAAGTACAGGTGACTGAGCTTTTCGGTACTGTTACTATGCTCGAGGAGAGAACAGGAGTGTTTGGCTTCATTTGCCCGACAGACGGGTCAAAAAAGTAAATGTTTTCCATGTTCCGTGCAGTGTGCAATGGCAGAAAGGGATTTCCTGTTGAACCTTCATCTGTGTCCAGACCTTCATTGTCAGTAACCATGTTGACAGCGTTGTTTGTTGCGGTGTGGAATGGATGGACAGTTGTAATGTCAGATAAAGCAGGTCCACTGGAAAGGCCCAACTGAAGATCAACCTTAGGCCACTCGTTCAGTGATTTCAGATTAAAGCTGGCTGATTTCTCTGAGAATGATGGTTTTTCAACGCCGAGATGGAGAGTGAAATCCAGTTCTAGATCCATTGAGGACTCCTCGTCAGTTTCTTTGGCTGAAGACATAGAAGTGCATGCAGTTGCTGTGCTCCCCTTGCTGTCTGATGAGCTTGATGAATGGCCAAGGTGGAGACAAAGTGAAGATTCGACTTGCTGATTTTCAGGCCCATCTACAAAGCTCCACTTCCTTTTGAGTCCCATTGAAGTAGAAGCTAAGGGGCTTGGAAAAGCAGGTGAATCAAGTCGTAAGGTTGTGTCTGCACAATACACACCTTCAGCTCCATTTCCTCCAATTTGGGTGGAATTGCACAGATTCTTGAATGCGTTCGATTGTGGGTTAGCAGCAAAACCCAGATTGTAGAACCTGGCATCCATCACCAAATAGCTACAGTCCAATGCTTGTATTTGAACCAAAACTTAGTTGCTAAAGAACAGTCTGCCTGACTTCCGGGTTAAAAAAAGAAAAATATATCTACAAAAACTAACTAGGGTTAGATGTCTCTGAGAGAGCACACCGCACCCCCGCTAACAAATCCAGAAGTATCACGGCGATCCATTGTTTGTAGAAGTTATAATTTTCCCTAATTAGCAGCAGTGCATGTCAATTCCACAACAATTCCATGTACCTAGGACAGCAGAATATCCTGTTCCATAAAGAATCATATTAGTCGCCACTTACTGGGATACAACTTCAATAAAGAGTAAGATCTAATTGCTGACAGATTGAAATTTATCTCTAGAAATCTATTTTTTCATTTCACCGGCAACGAAAAGTTGGTATATGTTTGGCAATTTCCTTTAAGAATCTGAAGTACAAGGTTCAATTACATAAAATTGAATACTATTAAATATCATTATAAAATAAAATAATTGTATCTGCTCTTCAGAAATTAACTAATCACATATTCACATCTTATCTACAATGATGATTTCTAGTTTTTAAGCAAAAACCGGTAAATTATTCAGGTGCATATGTGGACTGAATTTCAATATGTTGTTTCTTATCTAGATAGTCAAGGTCAAGAACATTGCAGTCACTCATTATTATTAAACAAGATAAGTTTCACACAAAATCCTCACATGACAGTTTCTCTTTATCTATACACAAACTTATGAACCTTGGTACAAATCCATGATTTAGTAGATATTCCCTCTATACAAATTCAAAAAGTAAAAATTAAACAATTACCTGACCTTTATTTTACCTGACCAAGGCAACCTTCGACACAAATATAAAGAACTAGCATGGACTCGTAACTAACAAAGGTAAGGTTGATGACTAGATAAAACAGATTTTAGTTCATACTTTTAGGCAGATAGATAAAGGAAATGACCACAGGAAAGCTTCAGTTCTCATTTACCATTGACTGGAAAACTTGCCCCATAGAGGCGGAAAGCAGTCATATAGTGTCTAATGCAGAAGTCATATACAGATCAATGAAAGTAACTTATCATCAAGTATTTCATGCATGCAGTCATCCAATACCTAAAATATGCAGTCGTATACATCTTGTTAACAGGAAGGAAATGAACAGGTATGTTTGATCGCTATTTTGGTTCAAGCTTAATGGAATCAATCAAATAAACCAGTCATCCAAATAGGGAAAGAACCAAGTATTGAACTGATAAGCAATCAGAAAGGTTAGACCAGTTGACAATGAAATAAAGTGTTAAAACAATAGCAGTGCAGTATGTAAAACAACATGAATTTCTTCACTCAAACTAGCGATTAAAATATAAATCAATTGAGCCTTAGACAGTTTCTTATGTGTTCAAAAAAAGAGCTTTTTTTAATTAACTATCAAGCAAAGATCTCAGGCAAGCACGACTCTATGTCAAACTTTAACCTGGGAACGGAATTTCGATTTGAAAGACGCACAGTGGTAAGAATGATATCAGGCATATTAGAAAATCTAAAGGGAAACATCACACAGAACCTAACTTCTATAAATCAACTGAAAAAATACTTCAACCAAAATTCTTTTGAAACTACATTAACCATGGAAGACAGAGTTAAAAATTACAGGACTTACATTTAAAAATTAATTACTTCTGCAACTAGTTCAGCCGATAATTTCTGGAAACACCTGAGAACACAAAACGAGAAGAAAACCAATCAGTGAAATTACACATCAAATAACGGAGAATTATGCTTCATGAAATTCATACAGGCAGAGGAACAAATACAAGCCCACAAAACGGTAATTTTTCCACATAAATATCAGAAACAAGTCTGAAAAAAATGATGAAATGATAAACGATAAACGTTTTCGACTGATTTCAAAAGGTAGGACAAACAATTGATTGAATTTCAGCTTCAAAAAACAAATAAATTAAGGGAAAAAAAAAAGATAGAACAGCTAGCAACAAAACTGATAAACTATGTATTAAATATAATCAGAAGTTAATCACAAGAAATCATCGGGAAACGAAACGAAACGAAACGAAACTTCAACAACACAATCAAATGGTCATACCGCAATCGATACGACAGATCGGTGAATTCTCACGCCTTGGATTCGATCAGCAATTCCGCTATCAACGAAGAGATCAGAAATTCCGGTCTGCGGAGACAAGATTTGTATCTATAATTTAGAGAGAGAGAGAGAGGAGAGAGAAACTAGGGCTTCGTGAGCGCCGGCGAGGTACAAAAAAGGGTACAGAGATTTGCAATTTTGTTGATTTTCAAGTGTATGTATCTATTTATACATATGAACAGTCGAAGAAAATGGGGAAATCTAGAAAACTATTTAACGGATACTGACAACGCAGGCGCATGTTAGCCCAAGCCGCGTACGTTAAGTCGGGATTTTTTTTTTTCTTCTTTTTTTTTTCCCTCTAATTAATTATGTAGTCTTAGTAGGAAAAACACTTATGTCTTGTAGTGACTTGTTCCTGATTAGTGATTTTAAAGTATTGAATTATAAAATATGAATTCTGATGTTTTAATGCTCTATAACAATTATTTAAAAATAATTTGAATTTTTACTCAATTTAAAGTAATTGGATTTTTAAATAAGATATTGCATAAAATGTAGTTCCTATTTTTGAATTTTAAGTGGATAACTTTTCAGGACGCGTTGAACGAAATAATAAAAAATCGACGATAATTCTTTCGTTTCAAATTAATTATCGCTTAAAAAGAATTGTTATCTCAATACAGTATTTTACACCGTATTAAAAATTTAAAGCGACATATATTGTTAACTCCTAATAGAAAAAATTAAGATTTTCAATCATGTATAAAATACATTTTTTTTTTCTCCTTTAACCTTATTAATTTGAATTTAAGTAATATTTTTTTGAGACAATTTGAATTAAGTATTAATTCTCTCTTATCACATAATTAGTTGGAGGGTAATTTAGTCAACATATATTATTAACTTTCTTAATACAAGTATTGAAACCTTAAACATCAATTATTAATAAAGGGATATTAAACAAAAATAAAACAAGAGGATTTGGATGACAACCCAGCATAAAGAATCTACTAATAATAACTACATTAGTAATAAAATCTACATAGTACAATGTTTCTTCATAATTGTACTTTGGCCTCGAATTATTACACCTATTTTGCAATTATTGCAAAATGTCACAAGTCACAACTTAATTAACTTATTAGTTCAATTTTTGGGTAAATAATTTAATTAGTGAAGTTAATATATATATATATATATATATATATATATATATATATATATATATTACTTATTTAATTTAGTGAGGAAAAAGGAAAATAAAAAAAAAATGTTTCACAACATTGAAAGGGCAGGTAGACTTTTGAAGAAACAACGTTCGATGGGGTGTGGCGATACGACGTAGGATTGAATGATGGCCAAACGACAACGTGACTTTCGACAAATTAAATATTTTTTATTTAAATATTTTTTATTTATTTATTTATTTATTTGATTAATAATTAATTAATGTTGTGGCGATTTGTAATTGACGGTGGGGGCAGCGGCTCGTCACCGCTCGTGGTGCGGTAGATGGGCCCGCTGATAACAGATTGGGCCTGATTCCTCGGCCCTATTTAAACCAACAAGGCGGCTCTTTTTTTTTTCTTTTTTTTTTTTTTCTTTTTGGTTTTTATTCTCTCTTTCTCTGTAATTATCAGTTAATACTTAATAGGGGTAAATTTCACTTTCACTTCTCGTAATCTGACATCGAATTAGTTTACCCCTTATACTCTCAATTGTATCGATTTAGCTCATGCACTTGTGCAATTATTTAGATGTAACCCTCTCAGTTAATTTTGACATTGACGTCGTTTGGTCGAGGTCTGTGAATTACAGAAACGCCACTTCTTTCTATTACACTTATTTTCAATTTGAGTTAGGTACATTGAAATCTTAAAATGTTAAAGAAACTTGGTACCAACATCATATAGTACAATTGTTGAAAGCAAAGCACAAATTTGTAGCTTTGCCAACTAAAAAAATTCAATATACAATGGCAAGTTGCCGCGGCTGTAGCTGAATTTGATAAATAAATTAAATAAATAAATAAAAATAGATAAATAAATAATTGATAATTAGGTGAATTTGATAGTGATGACTTGCTGAGTGTGCCAAGGGACAAATATGAATTTTCCAAAACTCTTGAGGCCCAATTGCACTAAGATAAGGATTATGCGGCGGTGCCGCAAGAATTAAATTAATAATTAATATTGGTTATGGCATTAATTTAGAGTGTATATAATGGTTCAATTTACATATTATTTAAAATTTAAAATGTAGATTAAGAGATTCCTGAAATAGATTCTGAAAATATTGTAAGGATCTGTTTTATAGAATAAATGGTAAATTACGATCACTCCTGAGTTAAGCTCAAATTACGAGGAAAATAAGTCACTTAAAAAATATCAACTTAATTTTTGAAAAGCTTTTGCAAACGCTCGATATTCAATTATCTTGCCTAGTTATCCCTTATTCTTGCTATGGGCTTATATAGGAAAGATAAATATATTCTCTTAAGCTAGAATATTCTCAAACCCCCAAACATCAACGTAGACAAATCAATTTTGACCAAGTCATTTTTTTAATATAAGACCAAAATAAATAAATAAAAATTGAATTACTTAAGTATATATTCAAAATTTTGTATATGGTGCAAGTGCCAACAAGACGTGAGCCCCTCAATAGATGCCCAAATTCGAATATGGAATATTCCTCTCTCTCTCTCTCTCTCTCTCTCCTCTCTCTCTCTCTCTCTCTCTCTCTCTCTTCTTTTTGCAGCCTTTTAATGAAAACACGACTTTAAAAGAAAGGAAGAAAGAATGAATCGCTTTGAAAAAGAGTGGTGCACGAAGAGAATCATAAGCCTATAAGAAAGAAATTTGTCACCCCAAGTGCAAGGGAATTAATGATCCTATCATGAATTATTGAACTATTTTGTGGAAAATATTCCGTCACGTATGAATTAATTACACTATATTGCTTTATGGCAGATTCTGGACATTGTGACATTGAAAACTGAGCCGTAAGCAAAAGGATAAACACTTTTCATTTGTTGAAGTGTCGTCTCGTTCATAGTTTTTTTGATTATGTTCTTTCTTTTACATGGTGACACTGAAAACTTAGCCGTAAGCAAAAAATTCAACACCTTCATTTGTTGAGGTGTCGTTCTTCATGCCATACATAGCTTTTATGATTATGTTATTTCCTTTATATCTTTCTGTTTTTTTTCGTTGTTAGTTTTTGTTCGTAATGCATTAAACCATTTTCCATAGTTTATCTCAGAGCAACTCCAATGGTAAAGTATCAAAATTCAAAATCGATCATCAAATATTAATTTGATACTCGTTGTATTATTTTGATACTCATTTACTCCAATCGCAAGCATTAAATGAATCATCTAATTTTAAATATAAGAATAAATATATTTAATATTGACACGTGTCAATTTTTAATTGGTTTGTTGAGTAGTTAATGTTTTGATACTTCTTTTTCCAGGATGCATTTTTGCATCTCGGGAAATTGAATATCAAAATAACTGCCAATTTAATTCCCCCATTGGAGATAAAAATTTATATTTTAGAGCATCAAAATAGAAGTTATTCCATTTAATTTCCCATTTAAATCCTCCACTGGAGTTGCGTATGCAATTTGTTGTTTGTCTTGGAATTCAAATTGATGACCAACACATTAGTATCACTTCATCACATCAATTTGTGTGCCCAATTTTCCTAGTGGAAAATCTTTTTTTTTTTTTTTTAATATCACAATTTTCGTAGCTTATGATTTCTTTTATTATTTTAGTTTGTGTAACTCGCTACTTAAATCAAATAGACGAATATTGTTTTTCAAGTTTTTGAATTATATCATATTATATATATCAACTATTCAAAAATTTTGTTCAATTGTTTATCTAAAATGTATTTTTATGTTCTAACTTGCCGCCGTGCATCGCACGAGTAAAAGACTAGTACAGAATGTAATTTAATGGTTGTGATATTGTCTGATTTGCCCATACGCTTTAATGGAAGACCCAATTTCGGCCCGAATAATTGATGCTAATATGAAGTTAATGGGCCCAATTTCGGCCCGAATCATTGATAAATAATATGAAGTTAATGGGCCCAACACTCGGCCCAATCACTAAAAGATCATCTTTTGCAATTGTAACTTTAAGTTCTATAAATTTGACTATTTAGAAATTTAGTCCTCCAAATTCTCACGTTTCACCTTTACATGCTATAATTTTATTAATTTAGTAATTAGCTGCATATTGTAAGAAGATTTCTTGATTCTCTCAGTTTATTATTAAAATGGCAAATGAGCTCGTCAAAATTAATACAAAAATTTGGAAGATTTTGGTAAATAGGCCAAAAAATGAGAAATTATATTGTAAACTTTGCTTTATGTAAAATTTAAATGTAACGAGCTAGAAAACTAAATCCCTAAATAAGTCAATTTAAGGGACCAAAGTTATAATTTTCCCCTTAAACACACAATATAAAGTTGACCAACTACAACATCAGTGGCGGAACCAGCATAGGGTCACGGGACATTTTTCAAATTCCTATTGTTTTAATATATAACTGATAATTAATTAATAACCCTAATTTACAACTTAAATAATAACTAAATAAGCATAAATAATACATAAAGATTCCAATTCCAATTTAATTAGTAGAATACATATATATCTGAATTGGCCACAGAGTTACGTTCTTGCTGAATCCCTTTTACAAATGCATGACTTAATACTTATAATCAAAATCAAAACAACAACAAAAAAAAAAACACATAAGAAAGTAAAAAAAAATACCTTAATTATATAACAAATATGACGTCATCATTAATATATAATTTTACTTGAACATTATTTTATTTTATTTTATTTTTACCAACACTCATACAGTCTGATATCAGCATGCAGCCGGAAGTAAACATCTCCTTCCAAAGCATCCGTGGTCAGAGTGGCGACGCCTCTCGTCATGAAGAAGTCTCCGGTGCCGCCGATTACCGAAATGTCCCTGGTCTTGTTCATCAACGGATCGGCTCCGGCGAAGTTTATGGAGCCCTTGTGCTCGGTGGAGTTGAACACGAACGAAAACCCTAGCCATGCAGTGAACACGTCCTTCCGGTCGTATAGGTAGAACCCTTGCGCCCGCCCCACCGGAGTCGACCGGAGGTTGTTGTCTATGGTTATGGGATCGTCGAAGACCACCACGTTTCCGAAGTGGTCCCGGTTGGATAGAGTGGTGGTGTTGGCCGCCCAGGCGGGGGCCGCTACGATGGCGGCGGTTGCGTTCTTGGAGTTGTGCCCGTTGTATAGAATGTCGTGGAAGTAGAACGCTAGGGTTTTGCATGGGCTGCGGTGGCGGCGGTTGTGGTGGTGGTGGTGGGATGTTGGTGCTCCGGTGGGTGTGGCGGCTGAGACGCCCATGAGGAGGAGGAGGAAGGAAAGGACGGTGGCGGAGGCTATTAGGTTTGAGGCCATGAGGGACGGTGGTGGTGGTGACTAGGTCTAGGAGGAAAGTGGTGGAGTAGATTTAGTATATGCCTATATGGGGACTATATATATAGGTTTTTTTGGGAGTGGGGGTTAAACGGATAAAAGTAGTATTTGCTTGACTTTTAAGGCAAAATCTATTATTTGTGGTGTCTAATGTATAATAATGAATTTTGTGGGGGTTTTTTTGGGTTGTCTTGTAATGTAAGAGTTACCTAATTATTACATGTGGCTAAGATATCACGTTCTATGTTTTGGGGACCATGCAGGCACATAATTCGATTTTTTTTTTTTTTGGGATCGGAATTGTAACTTTGAAAAACGAAAAAGAAATTTGCAACTGAAAAACTAATTCCTCCTCCGTTCCAAAATCAAAAATCGGAATTTCAGAAATTGTAATGGAAAAAAAAAATATTCCATATTCGAAAATTCAAGGGTCGTACGCTGCTGAATTCAGAGTCCATTTCTTTGTCGCATGTATATATATAATATATAAGTGTAATTTACGGCAATATGTTCGAATCCTCGAAATTATTTTTGGAAATCATAATATAATATATATATGTATACCATTACGTACTTAAAAAATGGAAAAATTAGAATTCATAGTAAGAAAATGTTGTTCCAAAATTAAAACTTTCGAAATTGGGAATAAACAATTTTGTTCCAGAATCGGTATATTCAAATGAAAATCGACGAAGTTCGAAAATTCCATTCGAATTCACACCCCTACTAAAACTAGAAGGTAAATTGAGATTTTATGCTTCATATGGTTTCCAAGTTCCTATTAAAAGTGTGCGTGTGTGCAGGGGCGGTACTTGCAAGGGGCTAGGGGGCTGTTGACCCCCCAAGATTTTTTTTTTATTTTTTTTAGGTATTTGGTATTTTATTTTTTTAATATTACTTTTGGCCCCCCAAAGTTTTTGTAAATATGTGTTTTAACCCATTATTTTTTTATCTTATATAAATTATAGATAAAATATATCATATTTAATATAAAATATAAAATAAGATGCTTAAAACTTGTATTATTTTAAAGAAAATTTATGAATATTACTTATTTTTGAATTTTTTTTATCAATGCCTTGAGATCGTGCCATGAATCCGTGAAATATTTAGTTAGTCCCCCTACATTTTGATCCTGGTTTCACCCCTACGTGTGTGTGTATATATATATATACATACACACACATATAAGTAGTAGTCCCCTACGTGTGTGTGTATATATATATACATACACACACATATAAGTAGTAGTAGGTGATTTGTACTGTTTTGTGAACTTATCATGTTATGTTTGTAGTTTGTACAATTACCAAATCCATGAATTAATATATATTGCTAGACAAAAAAATAAACTACTATATTAAATTATTAATATTAGATAATTGTTGGAATTACATATTTATGAGATATAATATATATGGATTTGTTAGGACAACTCATGTGACATGATCTTGAGCACGCAACTACTCTTCTTCTTATGACCGACAAAGTAAAATTTAGTCCTAACCAATATGATGGTCTTTTTTGGGTATTAGTAGTTGAATTTTCTCAATAAAACACGTATGCAACTAATTTTCTTATTCAGAAATGTTGCATTAAAAGGCTATTTCCATTAGGGGTATGTGATTGGTGCATATTAGCCTCTCATATATTTTGATTTTTTTTTTAACAAAAGAACCGGCGACCACTGATATATATATATTAAGTAAATTCACTTTCGTGTGGTAGAATGTCACATTACACAAGAGTCGACCAGGCGGGTATTTATCCATCGTGCCTCGAGTCATGATAATGGGACTCGAAACCGACTCATGGTTTGGAGGATCGGGTTTCGTGTCGACTGTTAACAGGCCGGGTCCGGGTAAAAATGAACACGCGGCCGTGTTTAGGGTGGACTTTTCACATCTCCAAGTTTTTTACTGAGGTCCCAACTCCCAACTACATAATCATATTTTATCATTAGTCCTATTTCTTACTCTTAATTTACAAAGGGAAAAAAAAATCATAATTCTATATAATTTAAATGGTCCAATTTTACAAAATTCAAACTCAATTTTGCATCGCAATAGAAAAAAAGAAGAAGAAAAAGATGGCAAGATTTGCCCCACGGTACTCCGTTTCATCTAAGTCTGAAAAAAAAAAAAAATCACCACTCCGAGTTTAAATAATTATTAAAAAATAATAATAATAAATTGTGGTTGCGATCGTGAATTATGCTTTCTCGTTGTCTTGAATTTTTTTTTTTAATTTAAATTATGTTTTTTTAAATAATTATTTAAACTGAGAGGGGTGGTGTTTGTGTGTAATTTGAGATTTAGACGAAAGGTTGTTAAAGTCAAACGTCTGACAATTAACGGCAAGGGCTACATCGAGACAATGTTTTAAGTACATGAGGGGCAAATGAATGTCAATCGAGGTAGTAGGGATAAAATAATATGGAACCAAAGTCCTAGGGACAACGTGAAATTTACCCTTTGATTATTTGTTTATGGGTAATGAATGATATACGCAGGCCAAATTAAACATTCAGGCACTTTTTTACCATGATTTTTTACCTTTTTACCATAACTATTTACCTTTTGTACTATTCATATGCACAAAATCGGACTTTTTTTATTCATGTGCTCGTGTGAATTTACGCGAGCACTTGGCAAGTGCTCGCGTAAATTCACGTGAGCACATTAACAATTTTTTTTTTTTTTAACCCACTCGTGTGATTTCACACGAACAGAGAAGATATGCTCGTGTGAAATCACACGAGCAGAACGTCTCTGTTCGTGTGAAATCACACGAGCAATTAAAAAAAAAAAAATTTAACAAGGCCTGCTCGCGTGATTAACGCGAGCACTTGCCAAGTGCTCGCGTAAATTCACACGCGCAGGCCAAAGTCCGATTTTTTCGTTTTTTTTTTCGGATTCGTAATCTACATAACAAGAGGATCGTAAAAACGTAAAAATTACCTCCGATCTGTTGACGATTTGCACGGGTTTTGCGAAAGAAAATCAAAAGGGTAGAGAGTTTTTGAGTTTTTTACCTTTTGTTTTTTGAGAAATGGTAAAAAATGTGCCTGAATGTTTAATTTGTGCCTGCACAAATCATTTCAGTTTGTTTATCTAAAATTTTAGAAACTAATTTCTCATCGGCACCGAAAACATGTCGGCCGATGGCATTACAGTTGAATATTAATGGCGGCCGTCGAGATTTTCGATTGGGCAGTTCATCTACCTAACCTAACCTAAATATGGCGGCGCAATTAGAAATTGAAATAAACGTAGTTAATTTCTCTCCTTTCCCGGGTGACTAATCCAGTTGTCTTTCCTTCACCCCTGTTTCCAGCAAACAACCGACGAAAAAAAAACATGTTTTTATTGAAACCTATCAATTGGGCATCTCTTCTTTTCCTTGGACTCGCCTTCTGGTTTTATTACAGGAACCCTAATCCTGCGAATTTGTCGCCAGAATCCCCAAATTCAATTTACGGATTCACTGTTAAGGTGCGCGATTTAGTTTCAATGAAAATTTCGAGATTCTGTTTTTTTTTTCTTTTTCTTTCTTTTTTTTTTTTTTTTTTTTTTTTAATTTGTAATGGTTTGATTTTTGGTTTTACCAGTGAGTTTCCATGTACATTGTATCACTGAGTTATGAACAATAGAAATATATATATATATATATATATATATATATATATATATATATATATATATATATATATATATATATATATATATATAAAGTTTTTGGTGAATTTTTTTGGTTAAATAGGATTTAAGTTTTGGGGACAAGGGTTTTGGACAATAGACAAAATTGTGGCTGAAATGAACAATGCTCAAGAAACACGACAAATTTCAGGCGATCGAACGTCGTTTACGCTATCAAACGTCCCTTTTTGCTATTTAATGAAAATTGTCAAACATCAACATCAATTCGTAGGAACTCGAATCTGAAATCCGTAAGTTGTGTTATTTCTAAAATTCGGAGTTCTAATAGGATTAGTATTTCTTTCGTTTTTGCCTTTTTTTGGGTAGTTTTCGTATTTTCATAGTTTAATTAGATTTTTCAGTTTGCTGACAAGAATTCGGAGCTCTCCATAAATACAATTATTTTGAGATTTTTCTCTAGTTTCCGGTAGATTCCGAATTTCGTTTGTTCCGAATTTTGGTCATAAAACACGGGCTTTTTAATTTGCATGCTAATAATCGAAATACAGGATATTCGTGGGAATGAAGTGCCTTTGAGCAATTACAAAGGAAAGGTTCTTCTGATTGTCAATGTTGCTTCAAAATGGTACGTCGACGCAGAACATGCAGCTTGAAATTTACCTGCACTTTGTTGAATTTAAAATTAATAAAATCATTGATATCTAGCTTTCACTTTAATTGCTATTTCCATGTGCTTATATTATGCTTTACATGTTTCTTTACGGGCACATGTTTTAATTGCGGTAACTTACTAATACGAGGCATAATCATTAAAATGTGTTCATTTTTCATCTTTTGTAGCGGTTTGACGCAGTCGAATTACAAGGAGTTGAACATTTTGTACGACAAGTACAAAGATCAAGGTTCGCCGCATGCCTTATACGTAGTTCATAGGTCAATACTTCGGTTTTTTTACAAATATCGGTTTTCCTTGCAGGTTTTGAAATACTTGCATTTCCTTGCAATCAGTTCGCTTCCCAAGAACCGGGAAAAAACGAGGAAATCGAGGAAGCTGTCTGCACCAGGTTTAAAGCCGAATTCCCAATTTTTGACAAGGTAGCGAGTTAATAAATTCCCTTAAAAAAAATTCAAACAAATCAAGAGAGATATACAATTCTTTATCTTTGCTTGCTAGTGTTGATTCTAGATAATTCACCAAACGGGTTAAAATTGTAATTTACAGATTGAGGTCAACGGCAAAAATACAGCGCCCCTTTACAAGTTCTTGAAGTCGGAAAAAGGTGGTCTATTCGTAGATGCAATCAAGTGGAATTTTACTAAGTTTTTGGTGAACAAACAAGGAAAAGTTGTCGAGAGATACGCTCCTACAACACCACCACTTGCAATCGAGGCAGGACAAAAAAAATATCGATTTTTTTCCTTCATTTTTTTCCTTCATTTTTTTCGTCTCTTTGTTATATTGCAAATTAGTTGGGGTTAAAATGGTAAAATGGATTTTGAAATTTTTACTCTGTTTTTTTTTTCTTTTGCAGAAAGACGTACAAAATCTTTTGGCTGATTGAGCGTTCAGGTTTGCTTATTCACCAAGGCTCATTCCTCGGATTATTATCAATCGGATTATGAAAGGAAATCATACAGAATACTAGGATTTTTCGTATTTTGATCATTGTTTAAGGAAAAGTGAACAAATAAAAATAGTAATAATACTAAGATTTTTTGTATTTCGATCTCTTCAATAGGTGAATGGAATGGATAACAACAGTTTATCTTAATTGAGATTGTCGAATTCGGTTAATTTTGAGTATGGAGTCGGTTTTTTTTTTTTTTTTTTTTTTCTTCTTTTTTTTTTTTTTTTTTTTTTAATAAAGGAAAGCGTAAAATAATCACTCAAGACATATAATGTTTATGTAGAGTAGAGTAGCTATTATTTCATTGCAGGCATAGGTATTTTATTTGATTCTTGTTTATATATATACAAATACTATTGCAGAAGACAAGAAGAAAGAAAACAAATTGCTCCATGAAATTCACCAATGCATCTTGTGTTTGAAGATGAAACCAATACATTCATTACTTAGTCAGTCATAAGTGATTTTTTTTTATATTAAGTGTTTGTTCCACACCGAATCGCCTAACCTTTCTTCTTCGTTTTTCTTCGATACACGTTGCCTATAAAGCAACAAACACATGTTGCTATTTTGGAACTTTGTAATCGAACCCTTTCGATGCTCAAGCCAGATATAGTACAATGAAACATCAAATGTAACGAAAGATTCCTTTTTTTCGGCTTTTCCTATACCTAAGAATCTTGTAGCCTCTAATATCATACCATTAAATTCATCACTTAGTATATTTCATCTTGCCTTTTGTCTCTTTCTCACATCATTTTTTTTAGATGTATATATATACATACATGTAAGTAGTTATTTTGAACCATAGTAACTCAAGTTATGGAAATAATTAAGGGCAAGAAACAACCTCATGTATTGGCCGTGCCATTTCCTGCGCAGGGGCACGTTAAGCCACTAATGAAGCTATCCCGACAAATAGCCAAACGCGGCATTAAGGTAACGTTTGTCAACATCCAATGTATACACGAAAAAATAGTCGCTAATAATAAAAACATGTCGGGTGATAATATTAATCATAATGAGGAGGATAATATAATCCTGGCCTCGATCCCGGATGGAAGGAGTCCGGAAGATGATCCGAACGACACTTTCAAGCTGCTGGAATCACTCAGGCACAGTACGCCTGGATTTGTGACGGAATTAATTGAAAAAATTAATATTTCGAATCCGGACCAGAAAATTAGCTGCCTTGTTGCTGATATTACAATGGCCTGGATTTTCGAAACTGCCGAGAAAATGGGAGCGGTGCCTGTTGCTTTCTCGCCGCCTTCTGCTGCTGCTTTTGCGCTTGTGCTTCATACTCCGAAACTTCTACAACAAGGATTTCTTGACGCAAATGGTAATAATGTTATTCCATTTCCTTTTTTTCCTCGTTTCAATTCAACGTTCGTCGAGCATAAACGACAATTTATACCGATGTTATTAATTAAGACATGAACTCTAGTGTTTATAAATTGGAAGGATATTTCGATTCCTAACCGAGTATTTTCGATTTTCGAATAATATTTTTCATTCTGAATTGCGAAAGTTCCGATTTTCTAGTTTTTATATTTTGAATTTTAATCCGATTTTAATTTTCGAAAATATGACTAGAAAATGGAAAATTTTCAAATTTCACCAATTCCGATATCTAAAATTCCGAACTTCGGAATATTTCAATTTCTTTCAAAATAAAACTGAAATTATATTTTCAATTAAAAGAAAAAATTAAATTTATTTAGTTTCCAAAATTACTTATTTAATTTGCAGGAAGCGTCACGAAAAGTGAAACAATCAGCCTATCGGAAAACGTACCCACGTGGCAGAAAAATGAACTCACCTGGAGCTTCTCCGGCGACCTTCAAACACAGAAGATCTTCTTCGACTGCTCGAAAAGAATCTCTGAAACAGTGAATCAAGCCACGTGGCTTCTCAGCAACACCTGCTACGAAATCGAACCCTCCGCCTGCGATTTGAGCCCTAATTTGCTCTCAATCGGGCCATTACTCGAATCCCCAAACCCTAAATCCCCTCCAATTTCCTGCAATTTCTACTCCGAGGACGAATCCTGCTTAGCCTGGCTGGACAGCAAACCGCCCGGATCGGTGGTTTACGTTTCCTTCGGCAGTTTAGCGGTTTTCTCCCAGCAGCAGCTGGACGAGCTGGCGTTCGGGCTTGAGAATTCGGGCCGGGCTTTTCTGTGGGTCGTCAGGTCGGACCTCGCGAACGGGTCGCGGGCCGTGTACCCGGATGGGTTCCTGGATCGGGTGGGGGAGGTCGGGAAGGTCGTGGAGTGGGCCCCACAGGAGAGGGTTCTCTCTCACACCTCCACTGCGTGTTTCGTGTCGCACTGCGGGTGGAATTCGACGATGGAAGGCGCGGGCAACGGGGTGCCCTTTTTGTGCTGGCCGTATTTCTCGGATCAGTACCATAACCAGAGTTACATTTGTGATGAGTGGGAGATTGGACTGAGAATCGAACCCGGAGAAAATGGGATACGAACAAGGGATGAAATCAGGGGCAAAATCGACAAAATGTTTTGCGACGATAGATTGAAGAAAAATGCGGTGAAGATGAAGGAAGTGTGTGCGGAGAGTGTGGGCGAAGGGGGTTCTTCTTACAAGAATCTTGAGATGTTTATCAATCATCTTGTCGAATAATGTTGATGTTGTGTTTTAGTTAACTATGTTGTTTTATGCGATGTTTTTTTTTTTTCTCGTGTAATTTGTTGTTTGATTGGCATATGTATCGATTGTAATCAAGTACCGATAAATATCGTTCGATATTACGATACAATATGATATCGGCGATATTTGTTTTGGGAGTGACTTCAGATTTGATATTTGTCTGCACATTTAGGGGTGATTTATTATACCATATATATATTTTGTACTATTATTTTTACAAGTTGCGATACGATGCAATAAATGATACGATAAGATATACAGAGAAAAACGATAATACGATATTTTCCGAAAGTGAAAAAGCTTTTCTTTAAGCATTTTCTTGAAAATGATACACACAGTACAGAAAGTATATCCACAAGCTAAAGATGAAAATGGCAAAGTACAGACAAATAACAATTAATTCTTACGAATTTCTTTTTTTCCTAAGAAAAATGAAATTCTTACGAATTTTTTTATTTACACACACTATTAAATTTTATTTATTTATTTATTCCCTCTGCACTTGCGTAATCACTGTGAATCAGACTCCCCTCCCACCGTATCCTCTTCCTTCAAAGAAGTCAACGCGTGCCCGGTCAACTGGCTCCGGTACTGCTGCATCACCAGCACCGACGCCGCCGTCGACATCTCCGGCGAAACCAGCAACTTCCCGATCGGCCCCAGCTCCGGGCACTCCCCCTTCTTGTCAAGCGCCGCCACCAGCTGCCCCTCCGGGATTCTCCCCACCAGGAAAAGATTGCTGACGTTGTGCGATCGAATCACGGCCATCGCCTCCGCCGCGCCGCCGACCACGCACTCCTCGAATTTAATCGAGCCGGCCTTCGAAACCCTCTCTCTGAACTCCGATATGAACTCCTCGTCGTCGGATCTGTCCTCCGGCCGGTTCCCATCGTTGCCGTCGATATCCAGCCGGACACTTTCTCCGGCAACCTTCGAATCGACGACGAAACGGACGACGTTCAGATTAATCCCCGGGTGCTCCGCCATTATCGCGCCGTAGGAAAGAGCTTCACGGTCGTCGGGGCCGCCGAAGAACAACACGGTGATGGTGTAGTTAACGTTGCTGGCGGCAATATGCGCCGCCCCGCCAAGCCCGCGGTCGACCAGGATCCCGACGGAGCAGGGCGCGTGCTCGAGCACGCGCCGGTTCACGTGCCTCAGATCCGACCTGGTGGTCTCCAAATGGCCGTCGATCCTCTGGTGCTTGTGGAACGGCAAGATGATCACCGCCGCCTTCTTCCCCTGGGCACTGCTGCATATGTCCTCGTGCATGCTAGACATGGCGGAGATGGCGGTGGTCGGCCGGATCGACACTTGGCTGAGCTGCTCGAATGCCTCGAACGCCACCACCACCTGGTTCGTATCGGTGCTTTCGGCCTTGTTCCAGAATGGTGCCCCGTTCTTACGCGCCTTGTGGACCATGAGAATCGCCGAAGACCTCTCGGAGAGCTCCATTAGGTGCATGGCGAACACTCGAAGCCCGCCACGTTTCCCGGTGCCTCTAGAAGTTTCCATCAGGTTGATCAATGTCGGAATGCTTCTAGTGCTGTGGAAGCATGTTAGTAGCCTCAGCTGAGTGTTCGGGTCTTTCCTCTGGATTGTTCGGTGCTTGTAATCCGACGCGGCCATTCTTGCCGGTTTGTAAAGAGCTACGACGATCGGCGTCGTTATAAATGTCGTGAATAAAGCCATTAGTACCATGATCGCAAATGTCTGGTCATTCAGAACTCCTCTGTCTTTGCCGATGTTGAGGACGATGAGCTCGACCAAACCTTTCGTGTTCATCAAGAACCCGAGAACCAACGCCTCCCTAAAGGGGATCTTGCACAAGAGAGAAACAACGACGGTCCCGACGATTTTCCCGAAACACGCCGTGAATATAACCAGCACGAGCAGACCCCACGACTGGCCCCCTTGAATGGTGGCCACGTTCGTCTTCAATCCACTCGACACGAAATACAATGGAAGAAACAAACCCGAGACGAGATCCTCAACTTTCTCGACTAGGGCCCCGGCGAACGGGCCCTCTTTCGGTACGAGAACTCCGAGCACGAACGCACCGAATAACGCATGGATTCCGATGGTGTCGGTCACGAGCCCGGCCGCTAGAACCGCGGCCAGCGTGGCGCAGACGTAAATCTCGTCGACTGGCTCCCCCTCGGGGCAGCGTTTGACCATCCACTTGAATAGAAGCGGGGCCACGAATATGCACAACGTTATAAAACCCGACCCGGATAAAAAGACCCATAGAGAAACCAACGGCGACCCGGTTCCTGACAGGGCGATCGCTAGGGCGAGCAGGATCCATGCTGCCACGTCGTTGACGGCAGCTGCTGACATGGCCATGCGGCCCACGTCAGTGGTCAAGAGCTTGAGCTCGGCCAAGATACGGGCCAAAACGGGAAAGGCGGTGATGGAGACCGCGACGCCCATGAATACGAGAAACGGGCCTTGAGCTACGTCTTTGGAGATTGTGCTCCGCAGGACGAAGGATGTCCCGATTCCTAGGGCGAACGGGAGAGTGATTCCAGCGAGGGCGATGCTTAGGGCTTTTTTCCCCGTTCGTCTGAGGGCTTTTGGATCGAGCTCGAGGCCGACGAGGAATAAGAAAAATAGTAGACCAAGATTGGCTATGGTATCGAGAACTGTGAGGCTCCGAGCTGGAAATACGGCATGGAGATATTTCTGGTTTCGCCCTAAAGCCGAAGGCCCTAGTAGAATTCCTCCCTATCAAAAAAAAAATTAGAAACAACAGAGTAAATGACCAGTTCATCTAAAAACTTTATCTATTAATCATTTTTTAATATTAATATCTTCAATAGTAATTTTACTAATGATCAGGAAAATGAAAAAAAAAAAAAATCGAAACGTACAATGATCTCAGCGATGACACGGGGTTGGCGGAGGGGGCGGAGGAGATAGGCGAGTGCTCGGGTGAGCGCCACGACGAGGCATATCTGTATGATCAAAAGAGGAAGCGAGAAATGTAGAGGATTGTCGCCTTGGAAAACCCCGTTCGACGCCGCCTTCATCGGTGGTGGACATTTTAACGCCGTTACGTTCGAAGCCATTTCTTTTTTCTTTCTTTATAATTTGGGAACCAAATTGAACCAGAAACACCTTTACAACCTCAGATCAATATCACTGCATTTTTATGGTAAATAAATGTCATTTGCCAAAAACAAAATAAAATCCAATTCAACATACAAACAAATTAAATTGAATTGAATAACCAACCATCCTAAATGAAAATGATTGTGTATATATGTATGTGTATATATATATATATATATATATATATATATATAGTTGACATTTTATTTTGTTATTACAGCGATTGTATTGGGGTCCGTGATTGTCAAAACGTTCACGCAATTCCTGGATGGACACGTGTCCTAAAACAAAATCAAGATCCTATGGCGAAATCAAGAAGAGAGATTTTTCTATAACGTGGAAATTAAATTAATTGTGATTTAATTTACTTGGCTGGCTTATCAATTTTCTCAGTCAAATAAAACGTGTAATCATGATTGATGATGGCTGGAATCGTGTACACTTAACCCGACCCGCTTCCAATCAGTGGCTGCTGATTTATTTGACAAAAAATATTAAACTGATTTATTTTTTATTTTTTATATTAATTATTTAGTTCCAAAGTCCAAGTTTTGTTTTGAACAATTAATCATAAAATTACAGTGACATGGGTTTTAAGGAATCAGCACACGGAAGGTGACAGCCAAACAAGACTTTAATTTCCCTTCAAATACTTTGTATTATAAATATTATGTAATTAAAAGTTTATTCATTCATGTCATTTTCGAAAGTAATCATCTTTTATTTTTCCAAGATTTTTTTGGCTAGAGGTGATGTTTTGTAATTAAATTACAAAAAATCAAATTTAATTAATAAAAGGAAAATATTCATTTGAATAGAAAACTTAAAGACTATCCATTACCATGATTAAATAGTATTTTAAGAATTTTTTTATATAATAATAATCCTGTTTTGAAACCCTAAAAATATATATTCTATAGAAAATAATTTATAGCTAAAGAAACATCTAAAAAGAAATGGAAATGAGTAGTAAATATATTTATTTAGTTCTGAAATATATCAAATATCACTGTGCATGAACATAGATTTACACACACACACACACACACACACACACACACACAGAGAGAGAGAGAGAGAGAGTCACCTGGACTTAGGAAATGTTGGAGCAAGAAGAAGATGAACCCATCGATCAGAACAGCAACATTGTCCAAAAAGTGTGGAGAGATGAAATAATATATATTTTCTTGTTTTGTTTGTATTGATTTAAAGAAAGAGAATGTAGAGAGAGAAAGAGACGAGAAATAGTAGTTCCACAGAGTGTGGAGAAGAAGGGACAGAATGTAGAGAGAGAAAGTGAGGATGGCTGGTTGTGCTTGTGATATGAAAACACACCATTCTTTGTTACCTATTTATAGATCAATTGTTTGCCCTCTTAATTGCAACTCGCAGACTCGGTT